CTGGAGTCACAGGTCCTGGCTCCAAGGCACTGAGGGACTCTTCCATGTTTCATTGAGGAATGAGTGGGAATGTGTTGCTGCTGAGGGCGTGTGTGATTTCTATGTGTGTGGATAATATTGCCAGCTGTAATACTTTCCTACCTCTGCTATTCTAAGGAATTCCATGCTCGTGATCTCTCTCTCTCTCCCTCCATCCCTCCCTCCTTTTCTCTCTCTCGCTCTTCCTCCCTCCACTGTTCCTCCCTTCTCCTGGGAAGATAATTTCTACTGGGATTTTACAAAACTAAGATGCTCCAAGGCAGGAAAACAAAAATTAAATCCAGTAATGATGGTGAGGCCTCCAAATGGAGCGCTTGACCTAGGCTCTTCTTCCTGAGTGATTTTCTGCTTTTCGAAATGCTCTCACAGAAAATGTAAAAGTGACAGGAAAGTGTAAAGACACAGAGAAACAACCAACCACTCCTAGCTCCATCAGCCGTTGTCAACTGTGACTGGCAGCCTGGCATCAGCTTCCGGTGCTTCCGCGCCTTGTTCAGAGAGTCAAGGTCCCAGAGTTCTCAGTGGTTTCCACTAAACGGTCCACAGTGGGATTTGTCCTTGGGACATCTGCTTTTCTTTCTTTCTTTCTTTCTTTCTTTCTTTCTTTCTTTCTTTCTTTCTTTCTTTCTTTCTTTCTTTCTTTTCTGCTTTCTTTTCTTTCTTCTTTCTTTTCTTTCTTTCTTTTCTTTCTTTCTTTCTTTCTTTCTTTCTTTCTTTCTTTCTTTCTTTCTTTCTCTTTCTTTCTTCCTTCCTTCCTTCCTTCCTTCCTTCCTTCTTTCTTTCTTTCTTTCTTTCTTTCTTTCTTTCTTTCTTTCTTTCTCTTCCTTCCTTCCTTCCTTCCTTCCTTCCTTCCTTCCTTCCTTCCTTCCTTCCCTCCCTCCCTCCCTCCCTCTCTCCCTCTCTTCCTCCCTCCCTCCCTTTCTCTTTCTCCTTCTCTCCCTCCCTCTCTCTCCCTCCTCCCTGCCTCCCTTTCCTTTCCTTTCCTTTCCTTTCCTTTCCTTTCCTTTCCTTTCCTTTCCTTTCCGTTCCTTTCCTTTCCTTTCGTTTTGTTTTCTTTCTTAGATGGAATCTTGCTCTGTCGCCCAGGCTGGAATACAGTGGCACAGTCTCAGCTCACTGGAACTTCTGCCTCTCTGGTTCAAGCGATTCCCCTGTCTCAGCCTCCTGAGTAGCTGAGACCACAGGTGCACACCACCATACCCGGCTAAGTTTTCTACTTTTTTTTTTTTTTTTAAGTAGTAGAGACAGGGTTTCACCATATTGGTGAGGCTGGTCTCAAACTCCTGATCCACCTGCCTTGGTCTCCCAAAGGGCTGGGATTACAGGCATGAGCCACCGTGCCTGGCTGACACCTGCTTTTTAATGGTGGTGCAGTGCTATGCTCTAGGGGAATAGAATCACGCACTTGCCGCCTTCCTGTTGTTGGGAGTTTCATTCATTTCCCTGTCTTTCCATCTTCCTCCTTTCCCTTTTCCGCCTGTTTATGAGCAATCATTTTTGTTAATATGCCAGATTGTTCCTTCCAGATGCTTTCCTGCAGTCGGGGCTTGATAGCAGTGGGCTCCCCCAGTCCCTCCAAGACTTCTAAGTGACCATGTGTGTGCAGGTCTGGGGAGTGGTGGAGGTGTCAGGTGGCTTTAGAAGGAGACTTTGGTGTAGCCACTCACAGCAGCCCCGTCACCTCTCAATGACTCCACGGGGAGACGATTCCACTTGCAGGGGAGCAGAGAGCATCTCTTCTGAGACATGAGCGCAGGGAAGCTTTGCCAGCCTGTATTATGGAAAGGCAGGCCATTCACTCATCTGCAAGGATGTGCTGGGCACCCAGAGTGTACAAGAGAACGTGCTGGACACAGCAGACTGTAGGGATCACACAAGGCTTGATTCCTTCACATTGTTGAGCAGAGAGAAGATGTGGACAAAGTCAGATCTGATCAACACAACCACCCTGGCCCCCCAAGAGAAATAACAAGCTTGTTTTGTGAGACAAGTGAATTGTATCAATTCCATCATGTTGAAGTGCTGTCACTAATGACAACTTCATTTCCACAGATATACACCAACAGCCAGTTACATGCAACTGGGGAGGAAAAATGAGAAAGGAGGGAAAAGAATAATGGCTAACTGAGCTCATTTGATTTCATTTAAACTTATTTTAGTACTAAGCTTATTTCTTGTATTGAATGTAACCTTATTTAATTCTTACTGCACCCCTCAAAGATGGGTCTTCCTGCCCCTGGTTTTCAGATGAGGTAACAATTAAGCCATTCGCTTTAATTAAGCAGCAGAGGCATCTCAGCCTCTGCACTTCATCTCAGCCCAGCACCTCTACTGGGGCTGAGATGAAAATCGTGGCGGGTGTTCTGAGGAGGTGTGGCTCTCCCTGGCTGACAGGGGAAGGCTTAGCAGAGCTTTGTCTTAGAGGAGGAGTAGATGAGAAGGAAAGTGCAGAGAGGGCATTCAGGCCAAGTCAGCAACACAGACAAAGTCAGGTCATGTGGGTTAAGTGCATGGGTGATGAGTAATGGAGATGTGGCTAAATGCTGTGTGTGTGTGTGTGTGTGTGTGCATGCACGCGTGTGCCTGCGTGTGTGTGTGTCTTTGTGTGTGTGAGTGACAGCAACAGCAAAGGGCCCAGCATGAGTGGCGGAGACCAGATTTAGGTAGACTTGGAGGGGCCACTAAGGAATTTCATAGGCAATGGGGAACCACTAACTATCACTAGGCAGGGGAGGAGCCTCCGGGAACCAATCCTGAACTTCATCGTTGCCATGCGCATCTCAGCAAGAATGGGCAGGATGGCATAGTCAGGAGTACTGCCTTACTTTTTAAAGAAGTGGTGAAAATATTTAATATTTTAATATACTTTTTCTTTTTGGAAGATAAATGGATTAGGTCCAGCATTTCATCCTACAGAGGATTTAAATTTTTTATCAGGAATGAGATTTGAGTGTAAGAAGATTAAATGATAGTATACTGATAAGACCACAGGGTTCAAAACCACCCCCTACAACCCAGGGAAGGGGGGCAGCCAGGCTGGCAAGATCTGAGGCCAGGAGTGCTGGGGCTTTGGGGACAGCAACAAACAGAACAGACCTAGACCTATCAAGGTGCTCCCACCAGAGTCCAGAGATCTCACCGCACACATTTTCTCATTCATGCCGGTGCCCAGTACATCCTTGCAGATGAGCGAATGGTCTGCCTTTCATAATACAGGCTGGTGGCACTTCTCCACACTCATGTCTCAGAAGAGATGCTCTCTGCTCCCCTGCAAGTGGAATTGTCTCCCTTTGGAGTAGTTGAGAGATGACAGAGGCTTCGGTGAGTGGCTAGACCAGTCTCCCCGTGAAGTCACCTGGCACCTCCACTGCTCCCCAGAGCTGCACATGGTCACTCAGAAGCCTTGGAGGGGTTGGGGGAGGCCCCTGCTGTCAAGCCACCACCATCACAGTCACTTTGTCCAAGCTATTCCCCTGCAACCTTGCCTGACCTGCAGAAGCTCCAGAGTGACCCACTCTTCCTGGGCATGTGAGGAAAACTTTGACATGGCTGCTCTGGCTTCAGGCAAGGTCTAATCTGGTGAAAATTGAAAGCAGTTTGGTGGGGGTGCCAGGGAGAAATGGGGAGAGAGAAAGCCACTGCATCTGATAGATGGCAATGGCTTGGAGCTGGTGTGATGGCCTCTCTGGATGACAAGGACATTGGAATTAGAGCCAGAAGGACTGAGGTATGAATCTCGGCATTCCTGGTTTGTAGTTATGGGGACTTGGCACAGACACTTGAATGAAACTTCTTTTGCACAGCTATAAGATGGGCCTCTTAATAAAGGCTGACTTTGTTCTGATCCTTCACTGCCTGTTGGGATGTTCTCAGCATTTTGTGCATGTTGGCCAATTTAACCCTAACAGCAACCACCACAGGCAGTTGCTATTGCTAGCTATTAATAACCCCACCTGACAGATGAGAATCTGACAGTGAGGCCCAAAGGGTTGGAGTCATGTGCCCAAGGCACACAGCCGGGGGTGCTGCAGGAGGCCAGTCGTGCATTTGTGGCTTTTCCCCTGGCCACTTTGCAGCACTGGTACAAGAGAGGCCCACGGGTGAACCCCCACCCCACAGCCACCCTTTGTCCCTCAGAAAGGGCTGGCAGAGCCTGCAGGTGAGGGTGGGTGTGGGGAGGGGTGGCCAATGGTCTGCCCTTCATTTCTGTCATGTTGTGGCTGCCACTGGGGAGAAAATGTCAAAAAGCTTCCTGGAAGAAGCAGCTTCCAGGAGCCTTCACCATATCCTAGTCCTGCCAACTGGCCACGAATGGATTGGAAGACTCCCACTGGGTGAGAAGGCTCAGAAGCCATCACAGGGGATGGTAGAGGTGGGAGAGGTACGCACCTCGCACCGCGGGGCTCCAGGAGCCAGACGAAGGACAGGCATTTCTGTATGGCACCCCGTTCTGGGTGGGTCCTCTCAAGGGGCCCCATTCTTTGTCTCTCCCTCTGTTGCTTTACTCTCCTCTTCCCTCTTCTTCCCCCCACTTCCTCTTCTCTTTACTTTTTCTTCTTCCTCTCTCTCCTTTCCCCATACCTCTCTCAACCTTGTTTCCACTTCTTGTCGCCCTTCTTGCTTCAACAAACGTCAATGCAGTCACAGTTCCTGGGCTGAGGCTGGGGGATGGGAGGGAAGTCCTGAGGGCAGCTCCCGCCCCCGCCCCCGCCCCGTCACTCCCACTGCCCCGCCTGCACAGCGTCTCACCATTTCATTCCTGCCCCCACCGCCCCTACCGCCCCTATAAGCCACCAGGTCGCTCCAGTTTGGTGCCAGCGCCTGGGGGCAGAGGCGTGGTGAGGGCTGTGCAGCCTAGGATCCACCTAGTGGCTCTCGCTGGCGTCTCAACTGCGCATGAACCAGCGCTGGGAGGCTCCGCTGGAGGTGTGACCAGGGCAGGGACAGACCTGGCCCGGAGCAGAAGAGCCCAGAGTCCCATCCTGCCACGCTACAAGGAGGGAAGAAGGAAAGATACAGTGTCAGCAAAGAGACCTCCCTCGCCCCTACGCCCCGCGCCCCCACGCCTCGCTTCAGCCTCAGGACAGTCCTGCCGGGACGGTGAGCGCATTCAGCACCCTGGACAGCACCGCGGTTGCGCTGCCTCCAGGGCGGCCCCGGGCTGCTCCGGCTCAGAAGAGCAACGCCCTCCGCCTGGGTACCCCGGACCGCGCACTTGCCGCAGCTTTCGTCGCGCCACTCTGGGCCTTGCCGGACGGGTCTGCACCTCCCAGAAGCTGTGGGCGCGCCGCTCAGCCACTCCATCGCAGCACTTTCTCAGGCCCGCGCCGGAAGAAGAGCCATGAGAACCTCAGGGTGCCTGCAGAGACGCTAGCGCCATGGGCCTCGGCGAGACCCTGCTGGCGGGGCTGCTGGTGATGGTGCTGGCTGTGGCGCTGCTATCCAACGCACTGGTGCTGCTTTGTTGCGCCTACAGCTCTAAGCTCCGCACTCGCGCCTCGGACGTCCTCCTGGTGAATCTGTCGCTGGGCCACCTGCTGCTGGCCGCGCTGGACATGCCCTTCACGCTGCTTGGTGTGATGCGCGGGCGGCCACCGTCGGCGCCCGGCGCGTGCCAAGCCATCGGCTTCCTGGACACCTTCCTGGCGTCCAACACGGCGCTGAGCGTGGCGGCGCTGAGCGCAGACCAGTGGCTGGCCGTTGGCTTCCCGCTGCGCTACGCTGGACGCCTGCGACCGCGCGATGCCGGCCTGCTGCTGGGCTGTGCCTGGGGACAGTCGCTGGTCTTCTCGGTCGCTGCACTTGGCTGCTCGTGGCTCGGCTACAGCAGCGCCTTTGCGTCCTGCTCGCTGCGCCTGCCACCCGAGCCTGAGCGCCCGCGCTTCGCAGCCTTCACCGCCACACTCCATGCCATGGGCTTCGCGCTGCCGCTGGCGGTGCTCTGCCTCACCTCGCTCCGGGTGCACCGGGTGGCACGCAGCCACTGCCAGCGCATGGACATCGTTACCATGAAGGCGCTCATGCTGCTTGCCGACCTGCACCCCAGGTACTGGCCCAGTGCATGCCGACTGGCTCAGGCCAGGGACTCAGGTGCTCCCTGGGCAGTTGGCTCGAGTAGCCTGTGGGCATCATCACCTTTACTCCGCCCAGAGTTCACCAGCCATAGCACTGCCCCTGCATGCTGCTCGCGGGGGGTTCCAGTTGGTTCATTGGTGCAGACACCGCCGGGGCCTCTGCTTCCTGGGATATGTGCTCACAGCACAGAGGGAACTTTGCGCAGAGCGGTGGGGTATGCGTCTCCGGGAGGGGTTCCGCGGGCTCTGCTGTGGACGGCCAGACACACCCCTTCTAGGGAGTAGCTGTGGGTCTGAGGCATCTGCTTGTTTCTGCCTGCTGCTGACCCAGTGCCCTTACATGGCCTTGGGCTTCATGTCTTGAGCAGGGTCCATCCCCCATGCTTTCTGCTCACTAGTTGGCAGGATTTGTCTCCTGAATCTCTAGCTAGTGTTGCCATTGTTCCAAATTACCTCCCGTAGGGTGTTCCCCTTTTGCCCTCGGCCCCCCACAGAACCCCCAAGAGGCTCTCCTGCTACTGGGGTGGGCAGACCAGGTGACTTCTCCCTCCCTGAGGGCCCCAGCCTTGCCCTCCATCAGCAGGCCTACCTCAGTTCCCTCTGTGTGGAGAAGGATGAGCCTGAGGGAAAGGAGGAGGAGCTGGCCCTTCTTTCCAGGCTTCCTTTATTTCACCTACAAAAAAGCAAGCCTACCTCTTTTCATTGTTCTTTCTCTCTCCCCCATCCCTCTGTCCTCTTGCGGTTCCAGGCTAAACATCCTGAAACCCTCCTGTCTGCCCTCACTTCGACCCCTGGGCTCTGGGCCTGGGCTCTGTCCCCACCCTGCCATCATCCCGACCACTGTCCTTTGTCCCCACAGTGTGCGGCAGCGCTGCCTCATCCAGCAGAAGCGGCGCCGCCACCGGGCCACCAGGAAGATTGGCATCTCTATTGCGAGCTTCCTCATCTGCTTTGCCCCGTATGTCGTGACCAGGTGGGTCCCAAGTCCGGCTCCTGTCGTGGGAACAGCTGGGAGGGCTTGGCCTCAGTTGAGTAGGACTCTGAGGTCTCCCAGCCGGGTATTGGGAGGGTGGCCATCACCACAGGACCCTCCTCCGCACCTGACAGGCTGGGGGCTGTGCTGGCAGCTCCTGGGAAAGACCCTTGGAGAGAGATGGCACTGGCCCCCATCCTGTCCTATAAATGAGGAGACTCTCCTTGTCCAGGCACAGGCAGATATGGGGTCTGTGAATCAGCACCTGGCTCTTTAAACCGAGGAAGCTTTCAAAATCAGGCGACCTGGGACTAACCCAGACCTTACACTCCGCATCTCCTGGGTGTGGAGTCGGGAATCTGGGTGGAAGCTCCGGCTGGAGCCTCAGGGCGATAACTCTGCCAGGTGAATGTTCTCTTTGCTCCTCTCTTTCCTGGAGACCTTGGCCTGAGTGCTTGTCAGGTCAGAATTACCTGGAGTCACAGGTAATTTGGGAAAGATTGTGGGTAAAAGTTCTGCTGGTACCATTGTCCCAGTGCTGTGCTGAGGGGCAGGGGAGTCTGCAGTCTCTGCCTCCAGGGTTCCTGGGTCACCCACTTGGCCACTTGGTCACTACCTTAGCTCCACTCAAGGAAATGTGTGCACCCTGCCTTGCTGGAAGGCAACACGGTTAGAGGGAGGCACGTTGTTCATTAGAGAGAGTGACTGCTTGCTATCATGTTTTGCCTTTCTTGGAAGCTCCATGGAATTTTTGGCCAGGCCTCTGTAGTACTCAGGCTGGCTGGGAGGTCTCCACCCTACGTGTTGAGCCACCACAGGAGGCTGCCCTAAAGGAAGAAGCTCCCGGGAGGGGTCCATGGCCCTCATCCTCAAGGGGCCCAGGTCCCCACCCCAGGGGAGGGAGCCAGCAGGGAGTATGGTACCAGGATTCTGGCTCTGTTTGTGTAGGGTCCTCCCGGGGTTGTTATCTAATGCCCTACAAGGTCTACCGGTCTGTCCAGGATGCCCGCCTGTCTTTCCAGGTCACTGGGGTGCTTAGGTATGTTGTGTGTGTGTGGGGCAACAATTGTGTCCCAGGAACCTGGGAGGTCCCAGAGTGCCCATGATGAGTGGCACCAGCTCTGTCCTGCCTACTAGGCTCCCTCTGAGCTCTTTGGAATCAGCACTTGGGACAGGAGCTCTTGGCCACCGATCCCATCTGGCTTAGGGACAGAGAGCCAGGTTTCTTGTGGATCACAGGCACCCTCCTTGCTCACATAAAACCTGGCAAAGGCCTCTGGTTCTTAGGAAACTTCATGGGCACAAGTGTGGATGGAGAAACTGTGGCGCCCTTCTCTTGGGAACTAGCTGTTTATCTGATTATCATGCTTGTGTGTATGTGTGCCCATGTGCCTGCTTATGCATGCAGGTGTATGTTGGGAGGTTTCATGTGTGTACTCATACATGCACATGTATGTACATACATGTAGAAGGTGAGTGCTAACATTTCCAGAGCTCCAGCATTTCGTTTTGAAATTTTAAATGAATGAGGAGTGAGACTGGCTCACTTGGCCATGATATTATGTTGATTAATGGGTGTAACCATTATTTTCCTGCATGGGTACAAGGTCCTGACCGTGTGTGGAAGCATGCATAGCGATGAGCGTGCACGCAAGTGTTAAAAGGAAGAATCCCAAACAAAGTCATGAAGCCTGCCTTTGCAGCATTGTTTCCACAATGCTGTTACCAACTCTGGGATCTGGGCAGCTCAGGCTTTCTTCTCCGTGAAAAACGTGGGTACAATATAGCATTAATGAGGATACATATTTCTTCACGCACTCGCTAAACATTTAATGAGCACCTACTCTGTGCTGGGCTTTGTGCCTGGTCCTGCAGTTACAAAATCAAATGGAACACAGGCTCCTCTTGGTTCTGATGGCGGACGATGCAGGTCAGCAAGACCAGGCAGGTGTTTCAGTGGGGGAGGGGCCTTGGGGGATGGAGACTGGGAGCAGCACAGCTGGATCAGAGTTTGGACGGGTTTGCCTGACAGGCGCCTCTCACATCATAGGAATGTACCGAATCAGAACCTCACTCCGTTATTGCCCTGAGGCTCCAGCCGGAGCTTCCACCCAGTGTGTGGACGAGGTTCTAATGCAGTTGGCTTAACCCACAGGAAGTCAGAGATCCAGGAGCATGTTGTCCCTGCTGCCCCTTAGAAGGTAGTGCACTCGTTCCAATTGTTCTGCAATTGCTAAAAATATTTCAGAGCTCTTCTCCTGGGAATTGTTTTCAGAACTGGGATGCATTGTTAGACTCTTCTGTGGACATCTTGAAGGTGAATTTAAATCTGGTTAGAAATAACTCAAAGTCACCTTGAGCCAGTTCATGTGGATAAAGTAGGTAAAGGAGATGCAGAATATAGGATTTTTCTTTTGTTTCTTGGTTGTCACTCTTGAGTTTTACTGACTTAATCCATGGTGCAGATGAAGTCCCTGGGGTGTGCAGCAGTGAGACCAGGAGGGTGGGGATACAGAGCCTGCCTTGTGGAGTCTGTGGTCTACTGTGGGGGTGCGGGGAGGGCAGATGGATACGGTCACCAGGTGCTGAGCATCAGTGGACACGTGAGTGAGCCCCCTTCTCTGCAGGGTCGTGGCTGGCTGGAATGCTGGTGGTTGACACATGACTTCTGGTCCCAGTGTGACTCCAGACACAGCCTCAGCTGGGTGTTTCTATGACTTCCACCTGCACCGTGGCTTCGCTAGGGGATAGACACTCTCCATGTGTGGCTTTCTTACTCACCTGCAGCTCAGTCCCCTAGTGACTGAAAGAAACGCCATGCTTCTCAGATCCTTCGATAGGACCCTCCTTCCCACTTGCCTGATGGTTGGCTGTGACCAGTCTCCAGTCCATGCCCGATGGTGGGCTTCGTGGATGTGGGGGTGACAGTGTACCTGATGTGCCTATGCTGGCCAGTGGCAAAGTCCTTTGCGGACTGTCACTTACTGTAACTGGACTCTCACCTCAGCCTGGGGTAGGTGATTAGGGCCATGACTGCCTTGGATCTGTGTCCCTGCTCTGATGTTTGGATTCTGGATGCCTCTTCTCTGGCCACACCCCTCAGCTCTCCCTGTCCTCACATTCTGGCCCTGCTTCTCAGCTTGAGGTGGCTGCCTGCCTGCTTGCCTGCCTCCTCATCCCCACCCCGCTGGACTGGGTGCCCTGGAGGGAGGGAGTCACTCTGATCCTTGCTGCACCCCAGCAGCTGCTGTGTTTGTGGGTAGTCAGCAGGTGATCTCCAAACTAATGAGTGACCCAGCCAAACTTGTAAATCACAGGGCTGCAGTCCTTCTGAGTGGGGGGTGGGACATCCTGGGACAGAAATTCACTGCCTGGGGGATCATCAGGCTGATGGGGAAAGCCCTGGCTTTTGGGGGCCCTGGTTCAAAGCCAGGACCTGGGAAGTGGAACGGCTGCCACTGGTCAGCACATGCACTTGTGACAGCTGTCAGAAGCCTCGTCCTGACTGTGGCTCCCGCCTCAGGCTGTGCTGCCGCTGGTCAGAAGCCTTGTCCTGACCCCGTGGCCCCTAGCCCAGGCTGTGCTGGGAGCGGAGGGGTCCATCCAAGTCCCCAGAGGCCCGGCCCCCTGCTGCTTTCCCCCACGCAGAGCCCAGTCCCTTCCACTCTGCGTTCTAGTCTGATTTCAGAAAAGCACTGGGCTCAGACTCAGAATGTGGGACTGAGCCTTTCCTCTGAGAGTTGTATGCCTGATGGTCCTAGAGACGCCCTCAAGCCTCTCTGAGTGATGCTTCGAGACGGTGGGTAGGGAAGCACCCTGCGTGGTGCGTGGTGCCCGAGGACATCCCGTGAGTGACTGCGATTCATGTGGGTGAGGTGGTCACGCTTGCTCAGGGTCTGTTCTGCAGCCCAGGTTGACACCTGTTACTCCAGCCTGGTTATTAGGGTTGTTCCGATTTGTTCTCAACATTGCCCAGGTTTGGGAGATGAATGCCAGAGGGGAGTCTGGTTGGGGGCTCCCAGTGCTCACATTTGGGGTGTCTCGGTCTGCAGCATGGTAGTGGTAATAGCTCCCTCGGTAGCTGGTTCTGTGTGCAGGCGTCCACGGCAGGTGTGCGCGCAGGTGGGTGGACTGAGCTGAGAGTGAGGATGGTGGGAAAAGGCCTGGGTGACGGTGACGGTGGCGGTGCTGCCAACTATTGAGTACCTGCTGTATGCAGGCTGATGTCGGCTTGCTCTGCAGTCCCAGGACCCGGCCTTGTAATCCCGTTTTAGGAAGAGGAGACCGAGGCTCAGGGTGCTGGCGCAGAGCCTCCTGGCTAGTGAGCGTCAGGGCTGCGGTGTGTACTTGTCCTGACTCTGTGGCCCCCACCTCAGGCTGTGCTGCCGCTGGTCAGAAGCCTTGCCCCGGAGCATGAGTGCGTGGCGGGTGCTGTCACTGTGGCTGAGTTAGCTGCTCCACTTCCCCAACAGGCTGGCGGAGCTCGTGCCCTTCGTCACCGTGAACGCCCACTGGGGCATCCTCAGCAAGTGCCTGACCTACAGCAAGGCAGCGGTCGACCCGTTCACGTACTCTCTGCTCCGCCGGTCGTTCCGCCAAGTCCTGGCCCGCATGGCGCGCCAGCTGCTGAAGAGAACCCCGCGCCCGGCGTCCACCCACAACAGCTCCCTGGACCTGGCGAGCGTGGTGCACCAGGTGCTGAAGAGAACCCCACACCCGGCGTCCACCCACAACAGCTCCCTGGACACAGAGAATGATTCCTGCCTGCAGCAGACACACTGAGGGCCTGGCAGGGCTCATCCGCCCCACCTTCTAAGAAACCCTGTGGAAAGGGCACTGGCCCTGCCACAGAAACGCCACTGGGGAACCCCCAGACACCGGCGGCTTGACTTTGAGCTGAGGCTGACGTACAGGAGAGGGCAGATGTGGGTGTGGACAGCAGGAGCAGGGGAGGAGAACTCCAGGCTCGGCCACCTGGCTGCTGGTCGGCCCGGGACAGCGGTTCTTACTTTCTGAGCCGCAGCTTCCTCGCCCTTGTTCTGGGGTCGTGGCGATACTTCGAGACGGTGGGTAGGGAAGCGTCTTGTGTGGCACGTGGTACCCTTGGGCGTCCTATGAGTGACTGCTGTTCATGTGGGTGAGGTGGTCACGCTTGCTCAGAGTCTCTTCTGCAGCCCAGGTGGACACCTGTTACTCCCACCTGGTTGTTAGCATTGTTCTGATTTATTCTCAGCATTGCCCAGGTTTGGGAGATAAATGCCGGGACAGAGTCTGGTTGGGGGCTCCCAGAGCTCACATCTGATAGTCTGTGGTCAGGGCCTGGCAGGCACAGGCGGTCCCTGGGACATGCCCATCTCTGGAAACCTAGAGGTCCCCAGCTCCAGGCCTGTCCTCTGTGACTGCCTGTGTGGGCAAGCAGATGGAGCCTGTCTCCTGCCTCCTCTTCTGTGGTTTGCCAGGGCTTTGGTGTCTTGACTGGGGAGGATGTGGAGTCTGTGTGCTCAGAGCCTTTTCTGGTGATGATATCATCAGAGCACATGACCTCTGCTTCCTGCCCCACCGCTGGGCCTCTGGATCCTAGACTTGAGATGGTCAAGAGATTGAAGTAGTAGCCAGGGCCCAGGTGTCCAGAGAGGGTGGCCCAGGATGGGAAGGGCCCTTGTTCCCCAGCAGCAGTGCTGGGGGAGCCAAGAGAAGGTGGAGCGTCCCTGAGTAGCCGTGTGCATCACCCCCAGTCTAGTAATCACAGGGTGCCATTCCTCGGTGGGGGCACCCACCATCAATGACATTGAATGTCCCCATGGGACAGTGTTGAGGACTTTTGTGCACATCTGTCCTATTTCACAGCTCAGGGAAAGAATGGTACACAGTGCACATGGGCCCCCAGTGGAGAGGTGTGTGTATAAATGAGTGAGCGAGTGAATGAATGGACACGATTCTCTCTTCAGCTTCTGTCAGTGCTGTTTTCTTCAAGGCCCAGGGCCATCCCCTGCAGAGGTAGGGTGGACTGCAAGACCTCAGGCCCCTGCCTCATGGGACTCTCTGATGGGCTTCACCCGTGGGCTCTTGCAGGCGTGGAGCCTGTATCATGACACCCTACACCCAAGGCCAGCAATGCAGGGAGAGCGTGGACATCAAATTATTTCCTTCCAGAGGCTGAATTCTTCCAAGACACATGCGACTGTCACTTGCTCTTGGCATTAACAGTGGAGAACCCAGCCGAGGTGGCTTCACAGAGTCTTTTCCAAAAAACAGGTGTTATTATTGTACTTTAAAACAACTTTTTGAGACAGGGTCTGACTCTGTTGCCTAGGCTAGAGTGCAGTGGTGCAGTCTCAGCTCACTGCAACCTCCACCTCCCATGCTCAAGCCATCCTCCCACCTCAGCCTCCTGAGTAGCTGGGACCACAGGCATGGGCCACTATGCCTGGATAATTTTTGTATTTTTTTTTTGTAGAGATGGAGGTCTCACTTTGTTGCCCAGGCTGGTCTTGAATTCCTGAGCTTAAGTGATCCGCCCACCTCAGCCTCCCAAAGTGCTGGGATTACAGGCATGAGCCACCACGCCCAGCCAAAACCAGGTGTTATTTGCTGACTTGCCAATGCCTTCCTCAAAAGGATAAATTTAAAAATGTTTGTAAATCATGAAGTGTAATTCAAATAAAACAAATTATTGTTTGGAATAATAGCAACTAACCATTAAACAGTTAAAAACATTAGAACACAGACCTGGCCAGTTCAATCAAACCCAGGGGTTCCAGGCAGAAGCTGGGGCAGGTGGGCGTCAGGCCCTGGTTCGCAGAGGGCACGTGAACTCGAGACCCTGCTGCACCCCGGTGCCCCTGTGCTTACAAGGGAGGGCACTCACACAGCAGAAGCAGGTTGGTCCCCGCTGTTTAAAGCTCCAGAGCCCAGGCTGTAAGCTCCTTGGCTGAGCCCTCTCCTGTCCCTGGGAGCTCCCCAGGTGCAAGGAGCCCGGCAGCCAGCAGGGCCTACCCTCCGTGTTATTGCATGTCCGCCAGGCTAAAATGCTTTGTCACTGCTTTAGCGCCACTCAAGGAAACGCGTGCACCCTGCCCTGCTGGAAGGCACCACGGTTAGAGGGAGGCACGCTGTTTATTAGAGACGGGGACTGCTTGCTGTCATGTTTCGCCTTCCTCGGAAGCTCCATGGGATGTTCTGGAACAGGCATCTTAAGGCATTCCCTCCGCCCTTCTCTGTCAGCCCATGTGGCTCCCACGCTGGGCTGTCCCTTGCTTTAGGCATGGGGCCTTTTTTTTTTTTTGTAATTTGAAAGATACTTTTCATGTGCACTTAAATGTGTTGCAAAATGATGCGATGCTGGGTCTCACGAATGCTGTGAATCAATAAACATCTTATTCAGAGGGTGTCTCATTTCCATGGAAAGGGGGGGAATTCTGCCTCGCATTAGCCACAGTTCAATTACCAGGAGAGCAGAGCTTTCTAGATGCCTGGGCTCGCATGCAATCCCTTGCTGGGCTTCCAAGACCTCCAGGCTAGGCCCTGCGCCCTGTGTGCGGCCGAGTGAGGGAGGCTTCTCCTGTTGTTTTGACAGTGGAGCTACAAGCTTGGGAGGCTTTCCCATGGGTGGGCGGGAAGCAGAGAGCCATGGAGGCTGTGAGGCTGGCAGGCACCTTGAAGGACATAACTGCTCATTTATTTTATTTGGGGGACCAGGAATTTTTTATTGATTCCATCTGTCAGAGGGCTGCAGCATTCCATGACAGGTGAGGCAGAGGGAGGCCCTGTGGGAGCCTGGAGTGACAGTCCTCTCACTCAGCTTGCCTTCTTGTCCTTTCGAGACCATGATCTCGTTCACCCGAGCCTCCCTCCTGCTCACACGGGGTGCAAACCTGGGCCAGAAGGGGTTCTGAGCCAGGAGCCCTCTCTCCATCCCCTCTGCGCTTGCTGACCCTCACTCTCCTCCTGCCTCACCTGGACACCCATCCATGGCCAAGCCTCCAGAACCCTTCCTGGTCCCTGGCGAAGCAGCCCTTCCTCTCACCCACCCTCCACCAAGCAGAGCGAGCTCCTGGAAATGCAGCCAAGAGCAGGTTGTGCTCCTGCCAGAGCCTGTGGTCTCTGCTCCTGAGCCTGGCATTGCTGGCCCTTTCTGTTCTCTGTCCCCACTGCTCCTCACTCCTATCCATACGGTCTCGGGCTAAAGTGCTGTGTGCTTTAGTCTACTGGCCCCTCCCTGGGGAGCCTGCATCCTTTCTGGGCCTTCTCTTAGTACTTCCTCCTCCTCTGATTAGCCAAGTCCTTCCACCTGACCAAGGCTGACACAACCCTCCATCTTCAGGCTCTCACAGCCCCAGCACCCCCCTCAGGGGTCCAGCCGTGGGGTGGGTAGGAGAGGCGTCAGACCCGCTTTTATCGCCAGCACCGCTGTGCAGCAAGTGCTGAGGATGCCGGCACGCACACATCATGTCCAGCTGTGGAGCTGGCTTCCAACCACTGATGGGCTCCTCCCGGCTGCCATACTGCCCCCACCCCATCCTCATGAGCCCCAAGGTGAGCGAGGTGCTATTTCTTAGTGGAGAGCTCCCAGCCTCGAGGAGGTGAGGACACTGGCTCAAGATCCTTTGAACAGTGAGTCCGTGCTCTTTTGACGACACGAACTGGCTTCTCTCCTAGAAGCTTGTCCTGCAGGGCAGCCCCATGGGCCGGCCAGGGCAGTCAGAGGTGCTTCCAGAAGGACCCAGCCACATCCAGGGCAGCGTTGAGCACCAGATGCCCCGGATCCCCAGGGGTGTTGAAATGGGCATCTTCAAGCAGATGACCTGCAGGAAGCAGCACCTGCTGGGTGCCAGCGATGATTTGGGCCACTGTGAATACTGTCTCCATTACACCAGCCTCTGGGCAAAGGGGCTTGTCCTAAGTCTCAGGGCTGAGTGGCAGCTGGCTCTGGGGCCTGGTACTGGTGCACTGGCATAGCTGGTAAAGGATCCATGAGGCATGCCGGGTGCGGTGGCTCACGCCTGTAATCCCAGCACTTTGGGAGGCCGAGGCGGGCGGATCACAAGGTCAGGAGATCGAGACCATGGTGAAACCCCGTCTCTACTAAAAAATAGAAAAAAAAAAATTAGCCGGGCACAGTGGCGGGCGCCTGTAGTCCCAGCTACTGGGGAAGCTGAGGCAGGAGAATGGCGTGAACCCGGGAGGTGGAGCTTGCAGTGAGCCGAGATTGCACCACTGCACTCCAGCCTGGGCAACAGAGCGAGACTCCGTCTAAAAAAAAAAAAAAAAAAAAAAAAAGATCCATGAGGCACATGGCTCCTAAAGGTCCAGCCGCCCAGCAAAGCCCCCTCCCGTGCATCCACACCAGGGACAAGGGTTAGCAGGTGGGGACATGCCTTCACTTTCCTCACCTGACAGGCCCTGGTCAGCTGGGGTCAGTGCTGCAGCCGGAGCCCCCTCCACCCGCAGATGCAGCCTGTGCCCGGGACCAGGGGTTTTAGGCAGGATCAGCAGGGAATCTGCGGATCAGCTCCACAGTGCGCTCAGGTGGTAGATGGGGAAACTGAGTCCCAAGGAGGTGCAGGGAGCCCTTTGGAGGAGGCGGGACACCCCACCCAGGGCAGGCAGGGGCCTTTATCTGCTGTCCTGCCCCTCCTCCTCCCCCAGCGGCATCCTCCCTCTAGCTTCTGGCGCTGCCCACTGTAACCCGACTCCGGCATTTGCGTTTGGGGCGCCCTCCCTGCGCCGGGGGCGGGAGCCCAGCGAGCTCAGAGCCCCGGCCCGCGCGGCCCGAGTGCCACATCACTGCGCCGGCCGTCCAAGGCCCGCCGCCCCACCATGCCGCCCCCGCCGCCGCTGCTGCTCCTCACAGTCCTGGTCTTCGCCGCTGCCCGGCCGGGGTGCGAGTTTGAGCGGAACCCCGCCGGTAAGGCCGTCCCCTGCCCCCACCCTCCACCCTCCACCCTCCACCCTCCACCCTCCACCCTCCACCCTGCAACCTCCACCCTGCAACCTCCGGGCAGTGTGACCCGTCGCTTCCTAGGGGCCCGGGAACTTTCTTCCAGTAGGTTAGGCGCCTATGGCCCCCGCGAGAACGTCTCCAAAGTGGGCAGCATGTGACCTGGGACTGGTAGGGTGACCTCTCCCCTGGACGGAGACACCAGGGAGCCTCTCTACGGCATCCAGGCCGGGACCCCAGGCAGCAGAGGGTCACCATGCCTGGGCCAGGGGCGAGATCTTTCTCCTGTCGGGTACAGCAGCAGGGGCGCCCTGCTGGTGGGTCCCAGGGAGCAGGTGCCAGGACTTTGCAGGGTGAGAGGCCATCCAAGGTCCCCGGGTCCTTCCAGGAACGGGGCGGTCTCTCTGGGCTATGGCAAACTCTCCACCCCTCCCTCCCAGCTAGAGCTGTGATGTGGACAGCAAGTCTCCGGAAGTGACCCTGAGGGCTGGGAGGGGGCGTGGGCCCCCTGGAGGGATCTGGGGCCGGGAGAAGGGAGGGAGGGAGAAGGGAGGGACGCAGGGACCCTCTGGGAGGTGTGTGCCTGCACGACCTCACCCAAGGGATGTGCAGCAGGGGTGGGGAGCAGGTAGGTAGAGGCTGGGGGCTGGATCCTGGGCTCCCACCTGGCCTCACAGCCTCTCCAGGTATGGGGGTGCATCTAGCAGGCCGTGCTCAGGGCTCTCATCAGGAACAGACATCTGGGCTCCTCAGGAGTGGGGCCCTGTGTGGGTTCAAGGGTGCAGGGTGTCAGGTTCTCAGTTGCTTGTTGTCTGGGGTTTGTGGATACCTGAGAACTGCCTGAGCCCTGCGAGTGGGTGTGCCAGGACCACGATACCCCACCCTGGGGCGTGATGTTGACGCTTTTCCTTTCTGTCCTGTTGATGCCTGGATCCCCCCACCTCTACTCCTCGCCTTACCTCAGCTCTTTTCTACCCCCTGCGTGTGTGCTCATGCACGTGTGCGGGTGGGGTGCTCTGGAGCTTGTGCCGTGTCGCAGGTGGGCCTCCCCTCAGCCCCTGAGAGCCCAGACAGTATCTAGAATCATAGGCTTGTTGGAGACCACAGCCCCCTCCTCCAGGAAGCTCTCCTGACCTGCCCTTTCCCAGGAAGAAGTGCAGCCCCCTCCTCTGCAGGCAGGCAGCACAGACCACCCTGACCTCACCCAGCAGGATGCACAGATCGCCCTGTCCTCACCCAGCAGGATGCACGGGCTGATCTCTGTCCCTGGCAGGTGCTGAGCACAGCCATGGCATCGGCAAGTGTTTCTAGGAGGAATCACATCCTCCAGTCCAGTCTCCCGTCTTACGGACGAGCGTGGAAGTCAAGGACCTTTCCAGCCCACAGGCAGAAGTGGGCAGAGCCGGTCAGCTGCAGTGCAGGTCCCCACACCCCAGGCTGCCATGTCCCTGTCTCACCATCTGGGTCTTGCTCAGAGCGAGCCTGGTGCTCTCTCCCCTCTGCCTCACCCTTTCCTGGTGGAGGCTTCCCTGTCCTCACCAGAGCCTGGGGACGGAGGGGATTTTCATGTCCTAGGGTCTGGGATTCAGATTCTGACTCCTTGACTCTGCTGTGTGACCTGGGCAGATGGCCTGACCTCTCTGACCTCATTCAAGTCTCATCCCTGACCCAGGCACAGCCGCTGGTCAGTTCAGGATGGGAAAGACAGCCGAGATCTCACTCCCCTGTTGAAGAAATGCTGCCACCTCGTGGTTAAAAGGCTTAGAACCATTTCAAAAGCAGCTTTCAGACCAGCGCCATCCAACAGAAACACAAAGCCATTCACATACAGAATTTTATATTTTCTAGTAGCCACACTAAAGAGGTAACAGAAACAGATGAAATTGATTTTAATAACAAATTCTATTTGATCCAATATGTCCAAAAAATTCCAGTATATTGGCATTCATATAAAAATTATTAATGAAACATTTACACTGTTTTTAGTACTACGTCTGAAATTTGGTGTGCATTTTACACATCGCACACATTGGTTTGAACTTACCACATGTGAAGGGCTCAGTGGCCACGTGTGGCTTGTGGCCGCTGTACTGGAAAGCATGGCTTGAGAGCCTTCTAGGGGCACAGGCTTTCACCCCGCTGTGCATTTGCAAGTCTGCAGGAGGATCCAGGGGTGTCGGTGCCCCACAGTGGTTGGGGTGGGGAAGCAATGGTGAATAGTCTAACCACCCACAGTCTCGCTGGCTTTGCTCTGTGGCTGCCAGGGCAGGCGGGGCCTAGGAGGGCAGAGAGTGGGTTTTGGGTCAGCAGGCCTGCCCCCATGCAATAAGTGGCAAAACTAGAGGCCTACGGAGGCCAAGCCAGCTGGCAAAGGCCCAGCCACATCATGGGACTGGCTGTGTGGTCTTGGGACAGTTGCAGCCCCTGAGGGCTCCTCCCAGACCATCCTGACTCTCTTGTGGCCACAGCAGCACCCACTGGGGCTTGGTGATTGTTGGGGGAAGAATTGTATCTTCCAGAAAAGACATACTGATGATGTAATCCCTGGCACCTGTGAATGGGAGCTTACTTGGAAACAGGGCCTTTGTGGATGAAATCTGATTCAGATGAGGCCACGAGGGATTAGGGCAGGCCCTAAGCCAATAACTGGTATCCCTAGAAGAAGAGGGAGAATTTGGGCAGAGACAGAAACAGGGACAAATTTCACACATGACAACAGAGGCAGGGACCGGAGTGCTGTGGCCACGAACCAAGGAGCACCTGGGGCCACAAGGAGCCAGGAGGGGCGGGAGGGTTCTTCCCTTAGAGCCTCCAGAGGGAGTGTGGCCCTGCAGACTCCTGACTGCAGACTTCCAGCCTCCAGCACTCTGAACTGTTGTTGTTTCTTCTTTTTTTTGAGACAGAGTCTGTCACCCAGGCTGGAGTGCAGTAGTGCAATCTCTGCTCACTGCAACCTCCCTCTCCCAGGTCCAAGTGAGATGGAGCTCATCTCACTTAGCCTGCCTCAGCCTCCTGAGTAGCTGGGACAGGTGTGCGCCACCATGCCCAACTAATTTTTGTATTTTTAGTAGAGACAGGGTTGCTGTGTTGGCCAGGCTGGTCTTGAACTCCTGACCTCGTGATCCGCCTGCCTTAGCCTCCCAAAGTGCTGGGATTACGGGTGTGAGCCACCACACCCAGCTGTTGTTGCTTTAACTCAAGCATGGTGGGCACTTTGCTAGGGCAGCCCTGGAAACAAACCCACCCCTCTCTGTGCCTTGCACATGGCGGGCAGTGGAAGCCGGGGCAACCCAGCTGGCAGACGCTCTTCCTGCCCCTTGGGAAACCCCAATGGGGCTGCACGGCTGGTTGGGGGGTCACAGCAGACAGTCCTGCTCCTGCCCACCGTGCGCCCCGAGCCTCTGTGTGTTGAGCATTCACTGGGCACCTCACCCTGCTGTCGTAATAATCTTGATGGATCCTCCAACAGCCCTATGAGGTAGGCGTGATCATTATCCCAATTTACACATGAGGAAACTGAGGCACGGGCAGTGGTTCATCCTGGAGCCTTAGCGCTGTCATCTGTGAACAAGGGAGACTCGAAGCCACAGGAAGCCAGAGGGATCGCCTGTCCAGTCCCTGTGTGATGGTCCAGTCACTCGTGTGGGCTCTTGCTGGCTTTGGAGGAGCAGGTGCAGGGATGGACACCTCACCTTGCAGCTCCCTGAGGCCAGCAGAAGCCCCAGGGTCAAGTCAAAGTTAGTTCTTCCACTCGCTCACGCCTGCTGAGTGAATAGACAAAGTTCCAGGTTCACCCAGGCTTGCCAGCTCAGGGCCAGGCCAAGCTCAGTGCCAGCCGGGCACCATCAGAGCCCTGTGATGGTTACCCAGGGAGTGGGGACAAGGGCACTGGGCTGAGATCACCTTGATCCTTGAGCTCACTGTGCTGCAGCATCTGCCTCGGTTCAAGCTCAGTGCAGGATGAGACCGTGGGTCAGCTGAGTGCAAACCCTGCTGCCAGAGTGGCCCTGTCGGCGGCCGGCTTTGCATACCAGTGCTCACTCAGGGCCCTGCATGGGATGGGTGCTCACACGGGGCCCTGTGTGGATGCAAGCCTTTCATCTGTTCTTCCCAATGTCACCCAGTTGTCTTTAGCCACACAGACAGGCGGGTGAGAGCACAGTGTTCCAAGCGGAATCCCGGACCAGCTTTTTTTTCGTTCCTTTTTTCCTAAAGTTCAAGCTCTCATGCCTCCTTTATGCTGCAGATTGGTGGAGTCTGGGGATGCTCTGGACCATGAAGGCCTGGGAGTCACGTGAGGGTGCCAGGGAGGGTGCCCGGAGAGCCTCACGCCCACAGGCCCGTGACAGCCATCCAGGGGGACTCAAGCTCCTCTGTGTTCATCCCAGTGCACGTTGTGGGCATCCATGGGCATGGATGGGTGGGCACGGGCGGGTGGTCACACTGCAGCCCCCTCTCTCCAGTTAGGGCCGCTCCACTCCCAGATGCTTTAGGAAAACAGTGCCCTTGTCTGTTGCTCTCCCACACTTAGCACAGCACGGGCTCCTGCAGCTCGTCTCCGGGTTGTTCTGAAACCGTTGCAGGAATGATGCACACTGTGACTGATGGAGACTGTTCCCCCCGGCAGATCTTGTGCTGGGCTCGGACCATGGGTCATCTCATCTCACAGCATCCCTGCAAAGTGATTATAATGAACCCATGTGAAATGGGGGAAATTGAGACACAAAAGAGCCACTTGCCTGGGGCCCCCTGCTGTGATGTGGTGGGGCAGGGGAGGGGCTGGGCATATTCTCTGTCCTCCACAATCCTTGTGGTTCATGGTCCATGTTCCCTGCCAGCTTGGACAGGGAGGAAGGGCGAACCCAAGGACAGCCACGTCTTCCCCAGGGCCTCCTGCACATGCCTGTTCCGTACCCCGAGGCAGCCGCGTCTTCCCCAGGGCCGCCCGCACATGCCTGTTCCACACCCAGAGAGCACTGCGTGGACCTCTTTCGTCGTCTGTTGTGAGGATGGAAATGGAAACTCTCCTAGGAGTGCCTGGTGGTGGACGGGTGCCCTAAACGTCACCATCCCACAAGAGCTTTGTGAGCTGAATGGTGTAGGGATCCGGGACTATGGTTGCCCAGTCCTCAGTGGGGAAACCGAGTCCCAAGTGGTTCCCTAGAGTGGGAGCTGCCTGGCCACAGAGCAGCCCAGGTCTCTCTGACCATTTGGAGAGTTGCCATGTGCTCAGCCAAGCTTTCACAGCCCCCAGATCCTAGGGTGAGCTCCAAAAAGCGGCCTGCACTCTCCCAGCCTCAAGGTTCTGTCCCCGGTTTTGACTGGAGGTGCAGAGTCACAGCCAGGCCTTTTCCTCTGCTCCAGCCTGCTTGCCCCCCTCTCCTTGGCCCCCTGCACCCACTCCACATGTCCTGCCTGTGAGTCACGTCCCCTTCTCCAGGGTCCTGCTGCTTCCACCGCCCAGCCTGCCCCCACTCTGGCCAGGTGGTCTCCGACATGGGCCCGTCCCAGCACTAGCCAGGTTTTAAATCTGATGCCGGATTCCCCTCCTCGAATGTGTTCTCCCCGCTTGAAGCGCACAGAGCCTTGGGTCCTGCTTCATACAGGGCCCTTAGCAGCTGGCATTACTTAGGGTTGGCTATGTTTGGCCTTCCCAGGGGCCTTACTGTTGGGTTCATGTGTCTGGGCTTCGGAAAGGGCCCTTGAAACCCCACGACTGCCAGGATAGTTTTGTATGTTGGTCCTTTTTTCTTGGAAGAGGGCCCTTGACTCAGGAAACAGGGAGAGGCCACACCCTGGCGGTGTCCTTGGGGGCACGGAGCCTGCATGGCTGACTCTGGAAGGGGCCTGGGTCTGAGTGCGGCAGTACCTGCTGGTGAGGGGTCCGGAGGCTAACTATTAAAACTTCTGGAATCTTCTGAGGACTCAGCAGCTTATGGTGGGAAGCTTGAGGTTGGCTACGGTAGAGGTGCTTGTGCCACGGCACTCACAGATGCCACCTCAGGGCTCTTCTGTCCTGGACATCAGGTTTGCAGGCACTGTGGCCTGGGCTTCGAGCCAGATGGATGCCACTGACCCCCACTGCTGTCCAACTGTCTGTCCTTAGGCAGGTCATGTGACCTCTCAGACGCAGCCTTCGCACCTGGGAAATGGGGGAGACTGCAGCATCTGCCTCAGGGGCTGCTGTGAAGACTCCATGAGAAGGAGCTGGCGGAGGGTGGCCCGGGCTGGTCCCCGCCTGCACTCAGGGCCCTGGGCGTGTGTTGCCCGGTGAGTGACGGACGGCGAGGCAGGTCCCTAACAGTGCCATGTCTCTCTTTCCAGGTGAATGCCACAGGCCGCCGGCTGCAGACAGCGGTACAGTACCGGGACCTCCCTGGCTTCTGTTCTGTAGGAGGGCTGCGGCCCCCACACTGTCAGAGCACTTTAGGCAGCTGAGCCTGTGATTTCAGAAGTGGGTAATGGATAACACAGCCCATCAATCAAACCAGAACCCCCTCGTAAACAGCCAGAGAAAAATTAGACACAACAAAAAAACACCAGCCAGGAAAAGGTGCACCGGCTTCCCACCGGGCTTTGCCCACGCAGCCCCTGCAGAGATGGCCTCTCCATCCCTCCCCACGCCTGCCTGCCCCCGTCCCCACTCCAGCCCCTGCTGCAGTCACACGTCCTGAGTTTGGACCTTGCCCACATGCATTTCATGGTCACTGGCTCTGTGCCGGGCCCCTGCTGAGTCTGGGGTTGGGTGAGTCACCTCCCCCGCCGGGCCCCGATTTCCTCCTTGTGATAGGAGAAATGCCAAACGAATCTTGTGAGATGGCTTCAAAAGTGGCGTGGGATCCAACTAATGTGGAGTGCTCAGGTCAGGGCTGAGGACTGGGCTCGTTCCCTGAAAGGGGCGAACATTTCATCGTCGCCTCCTGACAGATTTGGGCATCTGGTGTATTCTAAGTGGAGGCTTTTAAAAAATCAGAAAAAAAAAAATTCTGGGTACAAAGTCAATGACCTATGTAACATGTCTATTTTATATTTTATTTATTTTATTTGTTTTTATTTTTAGAGATGGAGGTCTTGCTATGTTGCCCAGGCTGGTCTCAAACTCCTGGCTTCAAGCGATCCTCCCATCTTGGCCTCCCAAAGTGCTGGGATTACAGGTGTGAGTTACCTTGCCCAGGTGTAAAATGTGGTGAGCAGGGCAATGTGAGGCAGAAAGAATCCTGTCCTTTCTAAACTTTGACATGAGAAGTGACAAAATGTCACGACCTGTCCCATGCAATGCCACATCTGGAAAGTCCAGCTGAGGAAAAGAGGAGAAGGCCGTCTGGGGGTGTGAGCCTGGAGCCAGCGGCTGCAGGGACACAGTCTGCTCCCAAGGGGGCTGGAGGGCCCTGCTAGGCCAAGGAGGGCCTTAGAGATGGGGCATTTGGAGCTAAACAAACAGCTGTGATGAGGAAGCAGGAAGGTGCCCCGCGACAGTGAGGACCCTACCCCCCGCCTGGGCTTAAGGCATCCCTGCGGGCTGCAGAGCAGAGATGAGCCTGGCTGAGCCACGTCTGTCATTATCTGCTTCTCATCCAAGTCCTGAGGCCCACCTGACCCATTAGGGTCCCCAAAGGCACAAGATGTCTAAAGCAGGGTGCGTCTTTTGGGACGTCTTTGTGCGGCGGCTGTGGCTCCTGGGTGGCTTGTGCCTGTCCCTGCCTAACACAGCATCGGCTGGCTGCCTTCACGGGCCCTTGTGTGGCACAGCTGCTTTGCAGATGGAGATGCCGAGGCTCAGGGCAGCCTCTGCTGCAGCTCGCTTGCTAGTGGGTAGTTGAATCTGGTTGGTCTTAGGCGCCTTCTCTGGTCTCTCACAGTCTCTGATTCCTGCACAGTAACAGTTGTCCTGGTCCTCCCCTACCAGACTGTGGGTGCCTCCTCCCTGCAGGCCCTGGCCCTGCGTGGGGTCTCCTTCATAAATGTCTGACGCGTGACGGTCAGGGCCATTGCAGGAGGGACTGACATGCCGACCCTGCCTCCCCAGTCACCTGTGTGGACCTGCAGCTCAGGACCTGCAGCGATGCCGCCTACAACCACACCACCTTCCCCACCCTCCTGCAGCACCGGTCGTGGGAGGTGGTGGAGGCCAGCTCCGAGTACATCCTGCTGAGTGTTCTACACCAGCTCCTGGAGGGCCAGTGCAACCCAGACCTGCGGCTGCTGGGCTGTGCTGTGCTGGCCCCCCGGTGTGAGGGCGGCCGGGTGCGCAGACCCTGCCGGCACATCTGCGAGGGCCTGCGGGAGGCCTGCCAGCCCGCCTTCGATGCCATCGACATGGCCTGGCCCTACTTTCTCGACTGCCACCGCTACTTCACGAGTGAGGACGAGGGCTGCTACGACCCACTGGAGAAGCTTCGGGGTAAGGGAAAGTGGCGGGGGCTGTCTGTGTGTTCACAGGGTCCAGGTGGTCATGGAGGACCAAGAGCCACACTGGAAGGAACTTGAAGCCTTTTCCATCGGTGGTGACAGTGCAGGCATTGGTAGAGGGCGGGGCTGCTCCCCAGGGCAGCACGCTCCCCACAAAGGGGTGCCAGGCAGGGTTGGGGACTCAGTGCAGATGGAGGATCCTCTCGCCGCCTAGGGCCCCCCAGCAGAATCCTCCAGCCCTTAGGGGCAGGCTGGGGTGGAAGGGTGCTCAGTCCAAGTGGCGGCAGTGCCCCCACCCAGGGTGCAATCAGGAGGCCTCGTGTCAAGGAGCCTGGGCTCAGAGTGCAGGGCTGGCCCCAGGGGTCCAGTTCTTGGCCACAGACCCTCCAGAACAGCAGTGCTTACCCCTGGTCGAAGGTGGGCAGGACATTTACTTCCCTCGGGAGACCTGGCGGGCAAAGCTTCATGATTGCCTATCGCTGGGCCTGGAAGATCACACAGAGGGTTTGGCCTGGAGTGACTCCTCCAGCAGGTCTGTGCTGCCCTGTGGGCTCAAGGACGGAGAGGAGCTGTGGAGAAAGGCTTTGGTGTCTCTTGCAGATAAAACAGTGGAGGGGGAGCGGGCAAGCCTGGGCCACCATGGGCCACTTGTCTCTGAGGTGTGCAAGGCTGTCCCAGAGGGCCACTTGGCGGTGGGGCTGGTGGGGGCCCTGCATGGAGCCCCCTGTGTCTGTTGTCTCACGAGTCGGTGTCCACCAGAGACCTTGCATGGTCCGTAGCAGCCTTGGCCCGTTAGACCTTCCTGTGTGAAAGAAATGTTCTATTCTGTGCTGTCCAAGATGGTCACCACTGGCCGCATGTGGCCCCAAGGCTTGGGATGTGGCTCTTGCCACTGAGGCCTGGACGTGGGTGTCTCATCACATTTGAATGAGTCTGAACATGCCTTTGAAGAGCCCAGGGCCAGTGTGTGCCACTTTCAGCTGCGCAGGGCAGCGTCTGCTCGTGGTTGGATTCACAGGATCTGACTGCGGGTGCCACACATGTGCTGGCTCATGCGAGTCGCACGGCAGTCTTGCTCCATGGAAGAGTCAGCAGAGCCTCGGGAAGGGTGACAGCGGTGGGGTCCTTAGCTGGAGTGGCCCAAGCCCATCGCAGATGGAGGGATGGATTTGGCCATTCATCAAATAGCTACCGAGCACCCACTGTACATATGACTGTGCTGGGACATTGAGGAGGGCAGGAGAAGGAAAGCAGACACACACCTGGGCCAGGCTCCAGCAAGCCCTGGGTTGTGGGCTGTGTCAGGCGCTCAGGGCTGTTCCTGGCACGTCCTGTATCCTCTGGTTCCCAATCTGAGAAAGGTGGACTCTGTCCACCCTGGGCTTCCATGCAGATGCGGTGGTAGGGTGCCCTTTGCCAGCAGTTGGGAGCCGTCTGTCTGCAGAGCTCAGCCCCTGCAGAGGCGGTGGAGGTGCCTGTGGGAGGCCAGGGAGGCGAGGAAGGAAGCCAAGCCCACAGCCCTGGGAAAGCCCAAGGAGTCAGTTTGGGATTATTTTGGGCATCTCTGCCGCCAAATTGCCGGCTTCCTCTGCTAGTCTCTCCCCTGGAGAACCGCTTTGAGCAGAAGCAAAACCACAGGGTGAGGAGAAGCTTAGAGAAACACATTAACTCTTCGTGGACCCAGGAACAGCCTGCAGCACCTGCGTCCTGCTCCTGTGGGCCTGGCTGCTGCAAAGCCCCTGGCGGGATGGAGGGAGTTGAGGGTCACTGGGGCGGTTTTCGGGGTGCCTCTATTCTAGTGGATGACAGGATGGTGGGGAAGCTCGTGCATATGTGACATAGACACATTTGTATTCTGGATCCAGAACCCCTCCCTTTTCCCCCCACCCCCTTTTTTCTTCCTCCCCGAAGTCCTTCCTAGAACCTCCCTTTCTGTTTCCTTCCCGGGCTGGTGCTCACTGCTGTGCTGGTGAGGCTGTAACAGAAACAGTGGGAAGCCTTACAGCAGCCGGAGGGGGCACCTTACAGCAGCCGGAGGGGGCACCTTACAGCCTTACAGTGCAGCCGGAGGGGGCACCTTACAGCAGCCGGAGGGGGCACCTTACAGCGGCCAGAGGGGGCACCTTACAGCAGCTGGAGGGGGCACCACAAGGAGGCTTCCTGTTTCCACCATTGGCCAAGCAAACGGAGCAGAATACTGAACTGCCCGAGTGCCACTGTCCTGGAAAACACACCCAGGAGAAGCCCCTCTGCACACCTAGCAGGGGTTTGCCCTGGGGGGTCCAGGACCCCATAGATCTCTTTTCTTTTCTGTTGTCCTGCCCTGTATTTTAGGAACTTCCCACAGTGGCCCCACAGTACGTGTATTCAGTCACATTATTCGGTCAGGAACCATGGCGCTGTGCTGTGTACATACCTCGGGTGCCATTTGGCTTAGATATCGCTGTAGGCACTGCAGAGGGAACTCTAATTAAAGATAGGGCTGTCCAAGCATGGCTGTCATGCAGAGGGGGCTAAGGGTGCCGTGCGTGGTCAGTGTTCCCAGGCAGCGGTAGGAAGCCTCGGGGCCTGACACTGACCGAGCCCCCCCACTGCTCCCCCAGGAGGCCTGGAGGCTGACGAGGCGCTGCCCTCGGGGCTGCCGCCCACCTTCATCCGCTTCAGCCACCACTCCTACGCCCAGATGGTACGTGTGCTGAGGCGGACGGCCTCCCGCTGCGCCCACGTGGCCAGGATCTACAGCATCGGGCGCAGCTTCGACGGCAGGGAGCTGCTGGTCATCGAGTTCTCCAGCCGCCCCGGCCAGCACGAGCTGAGTGAGTGCCCTTGGGAGGGCCTGGCGTGGCCCCACTTCGGGAAAGGGCTCGGGCTGCTCCACCTTGGGGCACACAAGTTGGCTGGGTGTTTGGGGTCTGGGCACAGCTGGGGGCCTCAGGGAGCTGCTTGGTGCAGGCCACGTCCCACTGGGCATGTGCAACCACTGTATGTATAAAGGAGAATTTCTCCAGATATCCATTTTACTTCAAAATTTAGGGTTGCAGACTAGGTTATTTGATAATAATGGAGACATTGATCCAGTGGCTGAAAAGACATAAAACAAACAAGAAATTTTATTTTAATTTTTAGAGACAGAGTTTCGCTCTTATTGCCCAGGCTGCAGTGCAGTGATGCGATCTCGGCTCACTGCAACCTCTGCCTTCTGGGTTGAAGTAATTCTCCTGCCTCAGCCTCCTGAGTAGCTGGGACTCCAGGCACGGGCCACCACACCAGGCCAATTTTTGTATTTTTAGTAGAGACGGGGTTTCACCATGTTGGCCAGGCTGGTCTTGAACTCCTGATCTCAAGTGATCCACCCACCTTGGCCTCCCAAAGTGCTGGGATTACAGACGTGAACCACTGTGCCTGGCCAAACAATACATTTTAGACAGAAAAGATGATGTTGGGATGTGGGCTTGCAGGGAGATAGTAAGGTTGTCTGGGAGTCGCCTGGGAGGCTGGAGGGAGGAGGGCACCATCCCTGCAAGTCACAGGCATAAGTCAGGGAGGAGCAAAACAAAGGCTGTAGGAGTGCCAGGCCCTTCTGCACTTAGGAGTGTGTGGCCATGCGCTGCATCTTTGCCATTTGAAGACCTTGTCCTGGCACACTGGACCCCAGGCAGGTCTGTACAACCCTTGTCCCTGGGCACCGGCCTCTCCTTTTCCAAACCTCTCCCGGAGTGTGACACCACAGAATGCTACAAATAAAGAAATTTTTCTATTTTAAAAATCCAAGTCCGTTTTCATTCCATCAGGCTTTGGATCTTGTTCTGAAGCGGGACCGGGCAGTATGGAAAATGCTAGGCGGGAGCGGGCAGTATGGAAAATGCCAGGCATTTCTGTTCCTTCAGAGGGGTCTTCCTGCAGGGCAAATTAGGAAATCAAATTTTATTGCTGTCGTGATTTGCTACCCTAAGTTGCAAAGAGCCACTCAGGCTGGTGGTATCTAAGAATCTAGGATGTTCTAGCAAACACCCAGACCTTCTGGATGGGTGGCCTCTGTTTCCCGCGTGTGGAGGTCCCCCTCTCCCAGGGCACAGAGAACATTCAGGTTTGGAGTCCAGGACTTCCTAGGGGTCAGTGAGTCTGAGTCCTGCCTGGGCCTCAGCCCCCAGCCACACCTGTCTCACGAGCACATTATTCAAACAGAATCGATAATTTTAGAAGCAGCCTCCATTTGACCCTTGGTCCCCACCAGTTTCTGAAAAATGCACCTGCTCTTTGTTTGTGGACTCAGGGGCCTTTTAAGGGCTGGCAGCCTCAGCCAGTCTTCGTCTTACTGGCCTGGGCAGCACGGACACCATAAACCCAAGGGCTCTATCTCGTACCAGGGACCAGTGGCCACCTGGTCACGCCCTGGCCCCCAAGGCTCACTACGTTCCCCCTCCAACTATAACATGCTCTGGGCAGGAGGCAGAGGTTCTCCTTACAGCACTGGAATTTGAGGGCAAGAGGTGCCCCTGTGCAGAAGGCCAAGGGAGGTGACCAGCGCAGAAAGCTCCCAGGTCATTTACACCCCAACATGTGGCATCTGAGGAATGTGGGTGTTTCCTTTCATCCCTGGACGTCCCTGGGCCACACACAGCTGGGGAGGGAGACGTCATTTTCCAGGGGAGCAATGCGAGGCTTAGAGAGGAGAAGTGACTTGCCTGTAGTCACACAACTAGTAAGGCCATGGGACCTGGTCCACTCTTCTTCCTATAGTCCATTCATCCATCCATCCATCCATCCATCCATTTATGCATCCATCCATCAATCCATCCACCCATCCATCCATCCATTTATTCATTCAGCTATTACACATCCATCCATCACTCTGGTCTACTCTTTTCTTCCTATAGTCTATTCATTCATTCATTCATTCATTCATCTATTTATGATTCATCTATCAATTCATCTACCTGGCCCATTCCATCTATTTGGTTTGCCTAAGCATACACATCTATCTATCATCTACCTATCTACTTCATACATCCATGTATCTATCTACTTGGTCATTCATTCTCCATTCATCTTAAGTGTATTTATTCAGCCATTTCAATATCCATCCATTCATCTATTCATTCATGCATCGATATATCCATTATTTCATCCAGCCATTATTCACTCATCCATCCATCACTGATTTATCCATCTATCCATTCATCCATCATCGATATATCTATCCATCCATCCATCCATCCATCATCTATTCATCCACCATCCATCCATTTATGCATCTGTCCATTCATCCATCCATCCATTTATTCATTCAGCTATTACACATCCATCCATCATCCACCCATTCATTCATACATCCATGCATCTATCCACTCATCATCCATCAATCCACCCATCCATTTATTCATTCAGCCATTTCACATCCATCCATTCATCTATTCATTCATGTATCAACTTATCCATTATTTCATCCAGCCATTACTCATCCATCCATCCATCATTGATCTATCCATCTATCCATTCATCGATCATTGATATATCTATCCATCCACCCATCCATCTATCATCTATTCATCCATCCATCCAGCCAGCCATTATTCATCTATCCATCCATCCATCATTGATATATCCATCCATCCATCCATCCATCCATCCATCCATCCATCCATCCCTCATCCATCCATTCACCCATCCATTCATCCACTCAAGGGCCAACCACCTTTCCAGCTAAGCACCAATGTATAGCTTGACTTATTACACAAACCTGAAGAGAGACCATCAATGAAATTAGCATGGATCAATGATAACATATATTATTCATATTCTTGAGTTATGCTAACTAATAATTCTGGCTAGGTGTAAAAAACAAGCTTAACAAAAGTGATGACCTTGATGAGACCTCATTATATACAGAGATTCCTGAGTCAAAACAAGTATGAATTGGTCCCAGCCCATCTGGTCATCCTTGCTGAGTGGGGGGCCTCATGCCTTTGGGGACCCCAGACTTTGAGATGATGCCCCAAGTCTCTGTATTTGTCCCCAGTGGAGCCCGAGGTGAAGCTCATTGGCAACATTCATGGCAACGAGGTGGCGGGCCGGGAGATGCTCATCTACCTAGCCCAGTACCTGTGCTCTGAGTACCTGCTGGGCAACCCCCGCATCCAGCGCCTGCTCAACACCACCCGCATCCACCTGCTGCCCTCCATGAACCCTGATGGCTACGAGGTTGCAGCCGCCGAGGTGAGTGCCCAGATGCCTGGATCCTGTGGGCCACCGCCCAAACCACCCCCTCATTCATTCACGTACAAGTAGTTTATCTTAGCAGTGCTTAGCTCCCGCCTCTCTAGGAGAGGAGCATTCAGTAGATGTGGACACTGGCAAACCCCTGCTTCAGGGGCTGGGGAGAGGGAAGGCACTGAGAATTCTAGTTGTATTAAAAAGGTGATGCGTGTGATAGAGGAAAATGGTGGATAGGGAGTGGATGGTGCCTGTGTGTGTCAGCGGTGGCCAGGGGAGCTCTCGGGGAGGTGGGTAACAAGCAGAGCAGGTCACTGTCGGGGGTGTCCACTCAGGGGGAGCAGCCAGGGAAGGCCCCGAGGCTGTGGCATCAGCAAGGAACCCCAGGGAGGGAGCCCCAGGGTGGAGAGGAGGTTAAGGGTCAGGAGCGTCCCCGAGCTCATCACATAAAGCCGCGAAAAACGAAGCCCCTGGCCTTGACCCTCAGCCCAGTGTGAGACCCATCTGGAAGGAGGAGGGTGGGGTGTGCTGACCCCACCCAGCCAGGGGTTGGCCGTGTTTTCAGGGTGCCGGCTACAACGGGTGGACGAGCGGGAGGCAGAACGCGCAGAACCTGGATCTGAACCGAAATTTCCCGGACCTGACGTCCGAGTACTACCGGCTGGCGGAGACCCGCGGCGCGCGCAGCGACCACATCCCCATCCCGCAGCACTACTGGTGGGGTAAGGTAGGAGCCGCCGCTGCCCACGCCTGTCGCCACCAAAGGCATCCAAGGGTCCCTGGTTATTCCAGGCTCTCCGGAGTTGTCCTTCCCCGGGGAAAGGAGAGCCTGGTGCTCCCTCCCTGCCTCAGTTACCTGTCTGTAAAATGGGAACACCTCCTTGCTGGGGTGTTGGTGAGATTGCAGAGATTCATGTTGGAAATGCCGAGATCCCCGCAGGGGCCCGGTGATGGGGGCCAAGTCCAGCTGGAGCATCGACTAGAGACCGGTCGTTAATGGTCTGCACCATTGGAGCCCAGAGGGCTGCAGAAGCCCGGGGCATGGCTAGGGGCCGGCAGGGAAGCCCAGACCTGAAGGCGGCCTCGTCTGTCCTGGGCAGGTGGCCCCGGAGACGAAGGCAATCATGAAGTGGATGCAGACCATACCCTTCGTGCTCTCGGCCAGCCTTCATGGGGGCGACCTGGTGGTGTCCTACCCCTTCGACTTCTCCAAGCACCCCCAGGAGGAGAAGATGTTTTCTCCCACGCCCGATGAGAAGGTGAGAGGGCTGCGGGGTGTGTGCAGGGGAGGGAGACAGTGTGCGCGGTCCCCTTGGAGCTGGTGCCCCTCCAGTCCTGAGCTCAGTGAAGACAAAGCTCCTAGGAAACTCTGCTCAGAGCCCGTCAGCACCACCTGCTCTAGGCCCAGCTCTGCAGAGAAGCCCCCTCCTCCTGGAAGTCTGCGACCTCAGGAGCCGTCCCTCCCCTGGTCTCCCCAAGGCTGGCTGCACTGCCTTTCACATGTCCCTATCTGGGAGCTCCTGGGGTGGGGGCCCTGGCTCAGTGCTGCTGTTGCTCTGAGCTGCGCCCTGCACCTGGAGGGGTCCCCAGTGCGTTCCACCGCAGGGGGTGCGTTTCCGGGAAGCGCCGGCAGAGGGCAGTGCTGCAGCGCGCATGGTGCCCACCTGTCCTGCTTCCTGGAGGTCGTGCTTGCTTCTCTCGCACTGGGCTCCTCTGGATGGGGAAGGAGTTCTGGTTCCACCGTCCACGGGGCCCTTAGGTGAAGCCCTCCATTTTCTGGGCCTCGGTTTCTCCTACTGTTCGTAGAGCAGCCGGCGATGAGACCCGTGATGATGCTGGGACCCTCCCCACCCACCCTAACCTTGGGACGACTTGCAGGGGAAGGGCGTGGACTTGGTCCCTTCCCACACTGTGGATGAAAAAACGGAGGCTGAGGGAGGGGTTGTGATCTGAGGTGGGCCCCAGCCTCCAGCCCCCAGCCCCCAGCTGCGGATCCTGGAGCTTAGCTGCCTGCACTGCCCCTCACTAGGGGGCACTGCCCACTCCACCGGAGGCCAGGCCTGCCCACCTGGTTCCTTGATGGCCCAGAGTCACTCCCCAGGCCTCCCGTGGAGAGCCAGGCCTGCCCTCCACCTCCCTCTGGGCACTTTCCCTTGGTGTTTGGTGGAAGGGGCAGGGAGAGAGGGACTGGACCTGGGTGGGCAGGTGCCAGGTGCCAGGCCCCGATAGTGGCATTCACATGTCGTTTGTTCTCCTTTCTGAGGCCACCGGGCCGGGCACATAGTTGGGCCCGTGGCTGGCACTCAGATATCAACCCTGCCTCACCCGGCCCCTCCCTGTCCTGGGGCCATCATTGGAAATGCAATGGTACTGGTCCCTGCTCTGGGGGTCCTCAGCCTAGGGTGGGAGATGGAGCCTGAAACTGGCAAGGAGAAGATCGCCAGGGCTGCAGGAGGGGTGTGAGTGCACGTGTGTGCATGGATGCCTGTGTGTGCGTGTGCGTGCATGTTCACACGTGCATGTGTCGCAGGGGGAACCCCCAGCCTAGTCTGGGACTTCAGGAGGGCTTCCCTGAGGTGGTGGTTTCCCAAAAGGATCCCACAGATGAGGTGGAGACTTCCAGCTGTGGGGCAGGGAGGGGCACTGGAGGCACAGGCCACCTGGTGCAGAGACCCAGGGGAGCCCCAGGGAGCCGGGTGCAGGGAATGCTGTGGCCCAGCGGGAATGGGGAGAGCAAGCTGAGCACCCTGCGGACCAGGGGCGGTGACAGCAACACCTGGGCTACTGGAGCATTTGTCCTGCATTTGTTCATTCTCCCACCTATTCACGCCTTCACTTGTTTATCATTCACTAACTCACTCCCTCACTCACCCATTCACTCACTCCCTCACTCGCTCATTCACTCACCCATTCAGTCACTCACCCATTCACTCACTGACTCACCCATTCATTCATGCACTCACTCCCTCCCTCACTCCCTCACTCATTCATTCCCCCATTCAATCACTCACCACCCATTCACTCACTCACTCATTCACTCACCCTATCACTCACTCATTCACTCACCCATTCCCTCACTCATCCATTCACTCACTCACCCAGTCACTTACTCATTGACTCACCCATTCACTCACATTCACTCACCCATTCACTCACTCATTCACTCACCCATTCACTCACCCATCTCCCATTCACTCCTCCACTTATTCACTCACTCACTCACTCACTCATTCCACTCCCACTTGCTCACACTCACTCATTCTCCTCTCACTCATTCCACTCATTCACTCACTCACTCATTCCTCACCCATTCACTCACTCATTCCACTCACCCATTCACTCACTCATCCATTCCTCCTCACTCATTCGCCTCATTCCTCACCCATTCACTCACTCATTCACTCACCCATTCACCTCATCCATTCACTCACTCATTCACTCATCCATTCACTCACTCCTCATTCCCTTACTCATTCCCTCCCCATTTCACTCACTCATTCCACTCCTGCCATTCCTCACTCATTCACTCACCCATTCCACTCACCATCCATTCACTCACTGCTCATTCACTTACTCACTCACCATTCACTCCACTCATTCACTCACCCAGTGCTCACTCCTTGTCACTCACTCATTCCCTCCGCACTCCACACTCACTCATTCTCCTCACATATTCTCCATACTCATTCACTCATTTAAGTCAACCACTCATTCATTCACTCATTCCTCACTCAACCACTCACTCAACCTCCTCAACCCTCACTCAACCACTCACTCACTCCTTCACCCCTCACTCCCTCCTCATTTCTCACTGTTCCTCATCCATTCCACTCGTGCCTCATTCATTTACTCACCTACTCACTCACTCATTCCTCCTCATTCACTCCTCCCTCATTCAGTCACTCATTCCACTCACTCATTTTCTCATTAACTCACCCATTCCTCACCCGTTTCCATTCTCTCACTCCCTCACTCACTCATTCACTCACCCATTCACTCACGCATTCACTCACTCCCTCACTCATTCACTTACTTATTCACTCACTCATTCACTCATTAACCCACTCAATCACTCACTCCCTCACTCACTCCCTCACTCGTTCACTTACTTATTCACTCACTCATTCACTCATTAACCCACTCATTCACTCACTTCCTCACTCACTCCCTCACTCATTCCCTCACTCATTTACTCATTCACTCATTCATTCATTCACTCATTCACTCACTCATTCACTTACTCATTCACTCATTCATTCAGTCACTCACCTATTCACTTGTTAACTCACTCATTTACTCATCACTCACTCATTCTCTTATTCATTCACTCATTCACACACTCATTTTCTCATTAATTCATTCACTCATTCTGTCACTCATTCACTCATTCATTCAGTCACTCATTCAATCATGCACTCATTTACTCACTTATTCACTCACTCATTCACTCACTCATTTACTCATCACTCATTCACTCATTTACTCATTGCTCACTCATTCTCTCACTCATTCATCACTCACACAGTCATTCACTCACTCTTATTCTTTCACTCATTTGTTTATTCCCACACTCCCTCCCTCACTCAGTCATTCATTGATGCTTGCAGGCAGTGCACACCAAGGGTGCAAGGGGTGAGGTGTCTGGTTCTCTGCTCGGACCTCTGCAAGTGCCCCCAGGGGTGACTGGGTGGCCTCCACTTCTGGCCTGGCCTTGTGCCCCTATGCTCTTGGGGGCAATGGCTGGGTAGGGCAGGTGTCCCCCTCTGCACAGGCCCAGTGTCTCTCAGCCTTAGAACCAGATGTGAGAAGATGTCCCCAGGGGGAATGTTCACCCCAAAGAGTCCCATCAGAGCCAGAGAAAATGAGACATTTCCCAAGCCATCAGTCATCGGGCAGTGATCATACAGTCCTGTAGCCAGCAGTGATCTCTGGAAACCAGGGTCCCAGGAGGCGCCTGGGGCTGGCCAGGGAGCATGAGACGGGCTGGCTGGGGTATGCCAAGGTACGCTTTCGCCAAACTTCCATGATGCCCTACAGACGAGAGCCAGTGCCTGGGGGCAGTGTTCAAGGCCCTGCAGGCTGGTCATGGCTGCCTCTCGCCGCTCCACACCTGCCTCTCTGCCCGAATCCTGCTCACGCTCTGTCCTGCCTGCCAAGCCCTTTTTGGCTCTGCCTACGCCCACTGTGGGAATCAGCATAGCCAGTTTCCCAAGGGCTTCCTGGGGCAGGAGCTGGGTGGGCTGGGTTTCCCATGGTCCTCAGCCTGTGTTCCTGTGTCCCCATTCAGTCGCAGCTTCCCCGCTCCTACCTGGTTTCATTTATCTGTGTGTCTTCCTTGCCCATGTGTGCCCAGCCTCTGGACCGACAGCTCCTCTGATGTCCTTGTCCTGTACCTGCCCTCCCAGGTCAGGCCTGTCTTAGCCAGACCTGGGCTCCTGCACCCCAGGGTTTTGGGGACTGGTGGTCGGCAGCCACCTTCCATGCCTTAGCCCTAGAGACTGACTAGTGATGGGAGGGAGGCCCCAGGCAAGGGTGGGGAGGAGGGACTGTAGGGCAGGAGGCCTTGTGGGGAGAAAGGGTGACATGGTGGGCTGGGTCAGGAGCAGACTTTGGAGAGAGTCTGGTCCCACCCTCCTACCCCCCAAGTCTACACTCTGTCATGCTGTTGGATAAAGGCAGGTCAGAGGTGAGATGCAGGTAGAATGTAGCAGACGTGTCCTGGGAAGATGGACCCTTTGTTGGGCGTGATTCGTTCTTGATGGGAAAGTCCGGTGAGGCTTCCCGCTATGAGGCAGGGCAGGCAACTCCAGAGCTGATGCTGGTCCCACCCACAGGTGCAGGGGCTACTGGTAGGATAGTGGTCCATGGTCCGCTACCCTGGAACCATAGGGCCTGAGTGGGGTTGTGTTTGGGCCCTTGGTTTGTATCTGTGGGACTGAGTCCATACGGCACAGCCTCACTTCTGAGGAGCTGGACCCATTCCCCGTCTCCCCCAAATCCCATGTCTGGGAGTCCGAGTCACATGACCCCCACCAGGGAGAGATCTTCACTCTGACCTGGAGCACTCACTCATTCACTCATTCGCTCACTCACTCACTCACTCACTCACTTATTCACTCATTCACTCAGTCACTCACTCCTTCACTCATTTATTCAGTCACTCACTCATTCACTCATTCATTCACTCATTCACTCACTCACTCATTCACTTATTCACTCAGTCATTCACTCACTGTTTCACTTGCTCATTCACTCACTCATTCACTCATTTACTCACTTATTCACTCGTTCACTTACTCAGTCACTCATTCACTCACTCATTCACTCAACCACTCACTCATTCACTCACTCATTCACTCAACCACTCATTCACTCAACCACTCACTCATTCACTCATTCATTCACTCATTCACTCACTCATTCAATCATTCACTCAGTCACTCATCCATTCACTCACTTATTCACTCACTCTTCACTCACTTATTCACTCACCCATTCACTCACTCATTCACTCACTTATTCACTCATTCACTCACTGTTTCACTTGCTCACTCATTCACTCACTGACTCACTCATTCACTCACTCGTTCATTCATTCACTTACCCATTCATTCACTCACTCATTCACTCACTCATTTACTCACTCAGTCACTGATTCTTTCACCCACTCACTCATTCCCTCATTCACTCACTCACTCACTCACTCTCTCACTGGGCCTGGCCTGTCCACCCTCCAGTGTCCTCCACTCCTCCTTTCTGACAGAGGGAGCCCCCTCCTCAGCACAGACTTGTCCCGCATGGTGGGACCCTGATGAGCCTGTGCAGGGGGAGCCCTTCGCCTGCCTGACCCACCAAGAGCCTCTGCCCAGGGTCAGCATGGGACTTAGAGATGGCCAAGAACCCCCACAAAGGAGGACCTGTGGATTCTGCCTGGGGGATGGGCACAATGTGGGGAAGCTCCGGGCTGGGGAGGGAGGCCTGTGGGGAGGGACCCAGGATCCCAGCCACACATCCAAACATGTCAGGGGTGGCAGGTCCTATGAGCTGTGTTCTATCCTTCTACTGACTGCAGTGGAAGGTGGAGGGTGGGGTGTTCAGGGAGGGGCTTCCCACAGGCTGAGTCCCAGCCTCTGATGGTGCTGGTCAGCCTGGAGTTGGAGCGGGATGGGGAATGAATCTATTATTATTCTTAGAAGAAGTTGGCTTTGGAGATGAAGTGGGGGGAAATGCAGCCCACCCCAACCTTCATTGTGCCAACAGCCCAGGCTTTATAAACTGTCAGGCCAACCTACACATGCCCTGTGGACACCATGTTTGTGTGTAACCTCAGGAGAGAAAGGCCTCACTACCCGACCAGGTGGGCAGAGGCTCAGTGATTACCCCAGATACCCAGGGGACCTGGCCCTGAAGTCCAGCAGTGCCAGACTGCCTGTGACCCACCTCCGGGCCTTCACATACATGGTGTCCTCTGCGGGACACCGTTCCCCTCTCCTATCTCTGATCCCCTCACTGACCCCAGCTCATGGGACGTCCTGCAGGGGACCCTTTCCTCATCGGAGCCAGGTCTCTTTTCCAGATGTTCAAGCTGCTGTCCAGAGCCTATGCTGACGTCCACCCCATGATGATGGACAGGTCGGAGAACAGGTGTGGAGGCAACTTCCTGAAGAGGGGGAGCATCATCAATGGGGCGGACTGGTACAGCTTCACAGGAGGTGCGACTTCTGCGGGGAGGGGCTGGGGTGGGACTCAGGGAGTGTAGAGGCTGGGTGGGGCGGGGCTGGGGTGGGGGTGGGAGTGTGGAGGCTGGGTGGGGTGGGGGCAGGGCCTAACTCCAAGGTCTTCTGCTGGGATCCAGTTGGAGACCTTGGAAAACACGGCGGTGCCTCGCCTGATGGAGAGGAGGCTGGCTTGAGTTTTGGTTTCTGTCTTGATGAAAAGCTGTTGTGTGACTGCTGTGGAGGCCCCAGGCCCGCGGCTTCCGTAGTTTATTTTATGAACACTTACATTTGACGGTTCTACCCATGACCAATCCTTTTGTGACTTTTAGGGAAGTGGAGTTGCCAGATGAAACGCTGGACTTCCAGTTAAATTGGAATTCCCGAGAGACAGTGAGGAATTGTTTTTAGGACAATATAAGGACGTTCCAATGCGTGGGATACGCTTACGAGAACCCACATGGGGTGGACTGATACTACAATTGTATCTGTGGTTTCTCTGGAGCCCGACTTTAAGCGTGTGCATTTTTATCTGCTAAATTTTCCCTGGGGGAGTCTGCACGAGAGCAATATAATGGGCACATGCCACTGTGTGTCCTGAGGGGCACCCGCCAGACTAGGCACACACGCTCTGGGCCCTGCTTGCACCCCTCCTTGCCAGTACAACACAGATGAGAGCACTGGGCTCAGCGGAGAGAAGGACTTGCTGGAGGCCCAGGGCCACAGGTGGCAGAGCTGGGACCCACGTGGCATCCCCTTCTGCCCCTTCCTCCCATGCAGGCAGGCAGAGAAGGTGGCACTTCTTGCACACTCTGAAGCCACCTTCACAGCCCGGTCTGAAAACCTTTCTCTCCTGCTCAATGATTGGCACCTGTGGTCTCCCTGGTGCGGAACAGCCTCTTTCCCTTCCAGAACCCAGACAGAGGGCCCTGAACCCCGTCATAGCCCTGTGACTGGGGTCTGCAACAGACACCCAGGAGCTGAGCTGGGAGAGGCCCCTCTCTGTCCCCTCTTTTTTTTTTTTTTTTTTTTGAGATGAAGTCTCACTCTATCGCCCAGGCTGGAGTGCAGTGGCGCGATCTTGGCTCACTGCAATCTCTGCCTCCTGGGTTCAAGCGATTCTCCTGCCTCAGCCTCCCGAGTAGCTGGGATTATAGGTGTGCACCACCACACCCAGCTAATTTTTGTATTTTTAGCAGAGACGGGGTTTCACCATGTTGGCCAGGATGGTCTCGATCTCCTGACCTCCTGATCCTCCCGCCTTGGCCTCCCAGAGTGCTGGGATTATAAGCGTGAGCCACTGTGAGTGGCCTCTGTCCCCTCTTGCACCTGACATGGCCCTGGGAAAGCATAAGGCCGGGCACCAGAGCTAGCTGGACCACAGGGACAGTGACTGTGGCTACACTGGGGTCTGGGCAGGGACTGTCAACAGCAGCTGCAGGGTCGGTGGCTCAGGAGCCTTGAACTTCAGAAGGGCTCCCTGCGACTCCCTGTGGGTGCCGTCGCCCTAGGCCTGCCTTGGAGATGGTCATGGCTTCTGCTGTACAAGAAACTCCAAAAGCAGGTGGCACAGAGGGCAGAAGTAGGTGCAGCTGGGGTAGGCCCAACTTGCTCTGAGGCCTTCTTGGCTGGCCAGGTGGCTAGTTGTCCACCCTAGCCCGGGCCTGTGGTCTCTCTGGGAGATGGAGCTAATAGGATCGCCCTCCTAGACTCTTGTCAGGACAACGTCTGGGTCAATGGACATTGTCACCATGGGGCCTCCAGGCCAGCAGCTGGGATGGCAGGGGCCTGTGTGGCTGCCTCGTGCTGTGGGCTTCTCTGTTAGAAACCGATTCATCCCCGACCTCACCAGAGACAGCACGGGGGTGGGGAAGCCTGTGGGCTTTGCCGCCAAGCTGCCTGGGCTCAAGATGCAGCTCTGCCCCTTCCTGTAATATCCCAGGCCTCCATCTGCACATCTGCAAAGTGGGGATCATATGGCCCACCTCACAGTTGTTCAGCCCCTCAGCCATAGGAGAGGCATCTGTTGCCAAGCACCTGCTGCACTCACCTGCCTGCTGGGCGCTCGGCCGATGCCCCCGACATCCCGGCTGTCTCTGTGCCACAGGCATGTCCGACTTCAACTATCTGCACACCAACTGCTTTGAGATCACAGTGGAGCTGGGCTGTGTGAAGTTCCCCCCCGAGGAGGCCCTGTACACGCTTTGGCAGCACAACAAGGAGTCACTCCTGAATTTCGTGGAGACGGTGAGTTCCGACGGTCTCCAGGCTCTGGCCCAGGTGGGGCCTGGGTGGGGTGGGTCATTTTCGGGCTCCCAGGGTGGCCCCAGCAGCTCACTGCCTCCGCATGCTCACTGCATGCTCCTCTCGCTGCCACTTGTTTGGTTTTCACTGTCCACCATGCGCAACTTGAGATGCAGCAGCTGGCGCTCCTCTGTGTGCCCTGTGGGTGCTGGGGCGGCAGTGCCATGTGTTGGAATCCCTGTAGCAAGGGTGTCACGACCTAAAGCAGCACAGTTAAACAAGGGAGCACGGGCCTGGGCAACCCGGTGAGGAGTCTGACCCAGACTCGGAGGCCGGGGGGCTTCCTGGAGGCTGCCGCACGGCTTCATCTTGAAGAAGGGCAGGAGATATCAAACCACAGGACAGGGAGAGCTCCCAGCAGAGGGGAGCATACTAGAACCCCATGGGGCTTTGAAACCCTCGAGAGCCGCTGGGGCTGTGGTGAGGACTTGAGCTGTGGGATGGGGCGGGCACTGCACTCCAGGAGGCGCGGGAGCGAGGGCTCTGGTCAGTGGGGTAGCTGTGTGGCTCAGGCAGGGCTTTGGGCCTTGGAGGGGAGGGTACAGGCAGGAAGTGGCTGGCAGAGGCTGGGGGCGGGGCAGGGAGGCCTGACTGAGAGGTGACTACTGTCATGAGGCTGAGGTCACCCAGAAGCAGGCAGGTGGGAGGTGAGTAGGGATGGCTGAGAGCGTATGTAAATGCCCCCCTCGCTGCCCCAGAGAGCCAAGGTCTCCCTAGCACTCAGTGTCAGAGCGGGGACCCTGTGCCCGTGTCTGCTCCCCTTGCAGCACAGCTCACACCGAGGGTGCTGGGGACCCCAAGAAGGACCCGGGATGTCACACGGAAGAGAGCCTGGGTTCTGAAGACACTTCTGCTATTTTTGTCCCAAGCATTTTCAAGAATGACATGAATTGCATATGAGCACAGATGCCCAGCGAGAAGCAGACCTCAGAAGGAGGGTTGAGCTGCAGCAGCAAGGAGGGGTGAGGGCACAGCACTGTACAGTGGGCGCCCACCCACACAGGGCGGCCGGTTTTGACACCAGGCCGGGCGGCAGACGGGGCCATCCCATTTTATAGATGGAGTTGGGGTTCTGGCCTGGAGTCTCTGGGCCACACACAGGCTCACGCTGCAGGCTGCCAGTGTCTGTGAGACAGCCAGAGGAGGTGACAGAGGGTCAGAGAGTCACATGGCCTGTCTGGTGTCACCCAGATCTGCTTGTTCCCAAGCCCTCTGTCCATGAGCCCCCTCTTTTCTAGAAAAATCAGGAACCTGCCTCCAAGTAAGACTTGAGCAAACTCCTTAGGGCAGCAGCTGCCGAGGAAGGAAATAAACAAAGACCCAAACAAAGTAATAATGGAACATTCTTCCATTTGAGTTTCTTTCTGATGGGTGTGCCGCAGCGTTGTGCCACCTGCAGTGAGTCTCACTCTTCTATAAGCTCTCGTGCCAGGCCTGTGCACGTTGCATTTTGCAGCTATCTGGTGAACACGAGGTTGGAGGAGCCTCGAATATGGCTGGCATTGCTCCTGGATATTACACGTGAAGTCTTGGGATATGAAGATTTACAGCGAGCCTGGACCTTGGAAGGCCAGGCAGTTTGCTGGCTGGCGGAGAGCTGGGTGCGGCCTCCTGATAAGGATCAAGCCTGTCGTGGCCAATTGAGGCTTTTTTCCTAGTGATCCTGGCCAGGCCTCGGGTGGGAGTCTACATAACCTGGGGCTCGGGGAGGGGCGGTGTGGCAGCTCTGCTTCCCCGCCAGAGAACCGCATGTGCCCCGTGTTTCGTGAAGGTGACCCTTGGGCCCAAGAGCAGGGACAGAAAAAAATCCATCCAGCGCAGGCCGATGTTGAGTGAGGGCCTCCTATAAGACACCCTCCTGGGAGAGCCCCTGCTGTCAGGTGGGGCTGGGGGAGGCAGAAGTGAGGGCTAGCAGAGAGGAAGCCTGGGGCCGTGGGACCCTGGGGTAGACCCCCAGTGTGGCTGGTCATCAGGGAGGGCTTCCTGGAGGAGGAGGAGTGTGATCTGTTTTGAAGGGAGGGAAGGAATTGTCCCGGTGAGGGGCTGGTGAGGGTATTCTAAGCAGAGAGGGCTCAGATGCTGTCTGGGGGTGAGGAGGATCCACGGGGTGGGCTGGCTGAGGGGTACGGTGGCTTCTCAAGCTGTCCAGTTTCTCCCCATCACCTCTCACGCAGGAAAGCCTTACTTTTTATGCTCCCCCTCCCGCTAAATGCGAGTCCACGAGACATTGTTTCAGGAGTGCAATGCCATTAAGCAATGAAGTGTGGACAAGAGCATCCTGGGTGCGGGTCACAAGCCCCAGAGGGCAGCGGGCAGTGGCCGTCACTCCCTCTCCACCGAGTCAGGAGGGCTGGGACCCTGTGATGTGCTCATCAGGATTCCACGTGCTCTGGCTTCCCCAAATTCCTGCGGCACAGGGACAAGTGAGAGCATGTGCTTAGTGGAGCTGGACTGGGTGCCCACCCCGTTTAAGCCACCCGTGCCACTGAGGGCTGGGCGCGAGCCTGGAACGGCAGTTAGGAGCCGCGGGGTCTGAGCTCGCTGGCGGCGTGTGTCAGGCGAGTTGGTTTCCTCATGGGTCACTGTGGGGGTCAGCCACGGTGGGATTAGAGGTCACGTGCTGGTTGCTAAAATCATCGGTCCTGCAGAAGCCAGAGATGCTTTGGCCTCAGGAACATTTTACAGCTGAGGAAACTGAGGCACCCAGAAGCAAAAGTTTGTCTGAAGTGAGGAGTCACTGGGGCAGAGCTGGTTCTCTGGCCCAGAGAAAAACCGGCCCCTCTCAGGCTAACGTCCCTGGGCCAGGGAAGGAGGATGCTCCTGTTGCCAGGGCTGGGTCCTGACCCTGTGGGCCCAGGCCCTTTGCTTCTGTGGACTCCTCCCTCCATAGGAAGTATTTGAAATTGCACTTTTACAACTGTCGACGTAAAGATGAATATATAGGAAAACGGTCTCTCCAACCTAAAAAATTTTGCTTTTATCCTGATTTTAAGAGGAGCAAGGTCATTTTCACAGTTTCTGGAAACACAGCAGGGCCTGGCTGGGAGCCCTTTCCCTGGGGAATCTGTTGCTGCTGAGCCCCGCGCAGGGCGTGGGCACGGGGCAGCCTCGCTGGACTGACTCCTCTCCCCACGGGTATCTGGTCCCGCTCAGCGTGACCTTCAGCATCCTCGGACCCCAAGCTGTTTCTGCTGACTGCAGCAGGGGCCGTGTGGTGTCCTGTCATTGATTGTTCTAGAAGAAATGCGGATGGGATCAGGCAGCTCTGGGAGGGGCTTTCCAGGGTGAAAACGTTGGCGCTGTGGGCGTGCAGGGAGCTTGTGTGCTGAGGATCAGTTCGTGCCAAGGCCAGGCGAGCGGTACCAAGGCAGGGCGTGTTATCCTCGTGTATGATGAAGAAACCACGCTGCTCTAGCCAGGGTCCAGGCACTTGGCCCTCGTCCTCTCCGACGCCCACGCTGCCTTCAGGAGCCTCAGCTCAGAGGGAACCATTGAGTCCCGTTGTGGCTGGGAAGGCAGGGAAGGAATGCCGATCCGTCGGAAGACTGGCAGGAAAGGGTTCTCTGGTCAATGCCCATTGAGATGGAGTCAGCCCGGCCTCGGGCGAGATGCAGGGTCGTTCAAAAGCCTGGAACATGCTCAGTCAATTGCCAGGGAGGAAACTGAGGCTCAGAGAGGGGAGTGACTGACTGGTTAAAGATGGCAGCGCGAGGGCTGGCGGAGTGGGGTTCTGTGGGGTGGTTTCCCCGAGATACCGAGCTCTGAGGAGCATGTGGGGAACCAGCTGATGGCCTCCATGCTCACTGGGAGAGCTCACGCCATCTCTGTGGTCTCTCCCCGGTCTCTTTAGGTGCACCGGGGCATCAAAGGTGTGGTGATGGACAAATTCGGCAAGCCCGTCAAAAATGCCCGGATCTTAGTCAAAGGCATTCGCCACGACATCACCACAGGTGAGCACGTCCCTGGCGGTTCCCTGGGGCCCACGTCTGCCAAGGGAATGCCACACAGTGGCAGCCGGCACCCTCACGCGCTCACAGTGTGCCCAGCCCTCGGCAGGATGCTCCATTCCTTCCCAGGCTGGCTGGGTCGGGGAGGGTGGGCAGGAAGCAGGGTCTGCGCCTGCTGCAGGCTGCATCTCGTTGCAGCCTTTGGTGAGGGAAGAGCTTGCCCGGCCATGGCTACTGAATGATGGGTGGATGCGTGCTCTGTATTCCTACGAAAATGCCTCCTTCTCCAAGAGTGCTGGGGAGAGCCGACTCCACCCATAAACCTATTGGTTTCAATCCCAAAGCTCATACCCCATTGACAAGCCGGGGTGTCCAGCCCCGTGCGGGCTCTGGCTGCCCTTAAAGGGATTTCACAGCTGATGAAAAATGACAGTATGCTGTGTTGTGTGTTACCTGCCAGAGATGTGGTCCAGAGAAGAGCAGGACTTTTGCTGACTGTGGTTGGGTATGGGAGATGGGAGTGGTCATCGAAGGTTTCAGAGAAGAGGGGGTGCCTAAGCAGGGTTTTGAGGGATAAAAAAGAGTCGGACAGAGAAAAGAGGTGGGAAGGACATTCCAGGCTCACACAGAGGCAAGTGCACATTTGGCGTCTGCCAACCTCTCCCCACTCACACCCATCACCCATCACCCATCACCCCGCGGCTGGGTCTGCAGTCCTCCTGAGAATCATTTGTAATCTATTTGTCCTCAGCCCCTGATGGCGACTACTGGAGATTGCTGCCCCCAGGTACCCACATTGTCATTGCCCAAGCCCCTGGCTACACCAAGGTCATCAAGAAAGTCATCCTCCCTGCCCGGATGAAGAGGGCTGGCCGTGTCGACTTCATTCTGCAGCCTCTGGGGGTGGGACCCAGGAACTTTCTTCACGGGCTGCGGAGGACTGGGCCCCACGACCCGCTGGGAGGTGCCAGCTCTTTGGGGGAGGCCACGGAGCCCGACCCACTCCGGGCACGCAGGCAGCCCTCGGCCGACGGGAGCAAGCCCTGGTGGTGGTCCTACTTCACGTCGCTGAGCACGCACAGGCCACGCTGGCTGCTCAAGTACTAGCCGCAGCCCCAGCACCCGCCCGGATGTGGAGACCCAGGCCCATCTCCGCGTCCCGGGCCCCTGGCTCTTGATTTTGTCTGCCACAGACATTCCACAAAGCCGCTGCCGTTTTATTAAAGTGTTTATATCCACTTTCCACTGGAATGAGAGGCTGTGTGTAAGGCGCTTTCCAGGGAAGGCTGGGGACTGACCCTTGTTGCCTGAGGACAGCTGTGGCCTGGGCCCCGTGGGGCAACCCCAGGCAGCTATTCTGCTGCCCACAGGTCCCAATTGCAGGCCCGAGACTGCAGCCCATCTGTGCTGGGCCAGTGGGACTAGCTGGCTTTTCCCAGACCACCAGGCCTTGAACTGACTTCAAATGGGAAACTGAGGTGGGCCAATGGCGTGAGCCTCTGTAGGAGCTGAGCTCTGGATCCTGCAGCTGAAGCTCATGTGTCCTGGAGTGCAGAGGAGAAGAGGGGGCGCTAAATGGGAGGATGGGGGTGGGCAGCAGGTAACCCCAAGGTAGGGTCAAGACCTCGAGGGCAGGAGAGCTGACCAGAGCCTGGGACCTCGTGGCATGGTTGAGGGGACCACACTCAGGCTCACAGGCTTCCAGGGGGGCCTGGCTCCATGGGGGTGGATATTCCTGGGCCCTCCCTCATCCCGATCATGCTACCTGGGTCCAGGGACCCTCTCCTGTCCCCTCTCTCACCATCCAGAAAGTCTGTCAGTCCCAGGGTCCTCCAGGAAGGGGTCCCATAGCCTGAACAGAGAATGCAGCAGAGAAGGTGCCTGAGCCAGCCAGGCCTGCGTCAAAAAGCAGCAGAGACCTGGCGCTTCGACAGCAGAAGTGTGTCCTCCTGCAGCCCTGGGGGCTGACGTCAGAGCCCTGTCGGCAGGGCAGGCTCCTGGCGCCACTCCCCGGCTCGTTGGCGGTCATCCTTCCCCCCTCTTCCCATTATCGTCCCACTACGTGTGTCTCTGTCCACATTTCCTCTTATACTGGGCTAGGGCCTAATATAAGACCCTAGTGACCCTCATTTTAATTTAGTTACCTTTACAAAGATGCTACCTCCAAATAAGATCACACTGAGGACCTGGGGCTTCAGCAGATGAATTTTGTGGGAGGGACACGGTTCAGCCCCTAGGAGAGGGTAACATCTGCCACGTAATGGCCCCTCACGCGCTCCCGGCTGTGCCCATCGGCTATCCTGGTTTCCAGAGCTCCAGGCCCGGGCAGGCCCCCCATGGAAATGGGCATCAACTCTGAGCAGTGCCTCGACCTCAACCGAATGACAGCATGGTCCCCACCAGCACCCTCAGCCTCATTCCATTGCCTCCTGGCAGCTATGCCCTGACGCGAAGGCCTCGGGGTTCCCAGCTGAAGCCCAGAGGAGCAGGCACACCCCCGGTGCTGGGCGGTGTGCTCTGAGGGGAAGGCACGGGGAGGGCTCAGGCAGCCTGCAGCCCTCGAGTCTTGCACTGGCACAGCAGAGCTTGGTTAGCTGAGCAAGGCATGGGTAATGATCTGGAGTGTCTGGGGAACATCTCACAGCCTCCTGAGCCCCTGCACCCTACATTCATCCATGTACCTAGTGACTTGAAGGTCTACATTTATTTGGTTCCACTGCATACAGGGTACCATGCAGGGGTCCTCTGAAACCCCAGGAGGCCTGTGGAGCAGACCTCTGCTTCCTGCTTTGCTGACATGGGTGTGGAGACAGTGGGCGCAAGTTGCCCAGGACTCAGGGTGTGCAGGTGGCCGCTCAGTCTCAGTGCCCCCGTGGGGCACCTGCACGAGGCCTTCCCTGCACTTCATTCTGTCCCATCCATTCACATTGTCTAGGGAAAAGCCTAATCAGTGGGTGTGTGGGGTGGAAGGATCATTCCAGAGCCCAGTTCATGTCAGGGGCCAAGGACCAGGTCCCCATCATAGAAACGGGAATGAGGAGTTGGTCAGGGAGCCTTGGGGAAGGCTGTGCAGGAGGGCCATGGCAAGAGTGGGAGCTGGGGAGGGGGAGACGAAGAGATGGCATTCTCTCCACACACCACCCCAGATGCAGCCAGTGGGGGACCGTTCCGCACTTCCATGTCCTTTTTTGTTTGTTTGTTTTGAGACAGAGTCTCACTGTGTTGCCCAGGCTGGAGTGCAGTGGCACGATCTAGGTTCACTGCAACCTGCACCTCCTGAGTTCAAGTGATTCTCGTGCCTCAGCCTCCCAAGTAGCTGGGATTACAGGTGCCTGCCACTACGCCAGCTAATTTTTGTATTTTTTAAAGTACAGATGGGGTTTCAACATGTTGGCTAGGCTGGTCTCGAACTCCTGACCTCAGGTGATCCACCCACCTCGGCCTCCCAAAATGCTGGGATTACAGGAGTGAGCCACCACGCCTGGCTCTGTGTCCTGTTGCTAGAATCTGCGCAGTCCGTAGTGACATCCTTGCCTCTGGCAGGACCCCCTGGCTGGGGCCTGCTGCCCCCTCTCACTTTCCGCCGTCCCCTGGTTTCCAGTGTGAAAGCTGTCACAATCAAAATGGAGACACCTGTGTTAAAAAACAAAGCAAACCAGAACCCCAACCAATAAAGCTGGGAACAACCCTGACGGTATTCCCCATAAATCGATCACAGAAGACGGCAAACAGCACACTCGTGAGCAAAGTCCATGACAACCTCACACACAAAACACTTCTGCAAGGACGCCTGCCCAGCCTCAGACTGTTACCACCCGTGTTATCGATTCCTGTGGCAAGGATAATTATCCCAAAACAATGACGTGATTCTCCTCACTTTCCCATGAAAGCCTCTGTGCTTGTACCTCCCTGAATACGCACAGCGGACTCCAGCATATGTATTTCCACTGCAAGGCCCGACTCCCGAGCGAACCTCATTTTCATTTGGAGAGCCTCTCTGGCAGTGGTTCGGGTGGACGCTAGTGTGGACGCAGCATTGGGAAAACGGAGCCGTGCACCAGGGCTGCCTATTGCTCCAGGGGTGCTCACTGCTTCCAGGCCTGTCCATGGACAGAGCTAGATATCCAATTGTTTTTAAAGGGAAAACACATAAGGCCGGGAGGGGTGGCTCACACCTGTAATCCCAGCACTTTGGGAGGCTGAGGCTGGTGGACCACCTGAGGTCAGGAGTTCAAGACCAGCCTGGCCAACATGGTGAAACCCCATCTCTACTAAAAATGCAAAAAAAAAAAAAAAAAAAAAAAAAAAAGAAAGAAAAGAAAAGAAAAAAAAATTTAGCTAGGCATGGTGGCAGGCTAATCTGGAGGCTGAGGCAGAAGAATTGCTTGAACCCGGGAGGCGGAGGTTGCAGTGAGCTGAGATCATGCCATTGGACCACAGCCTGGGCAACAGAGCAAGATTCCATCTCAAAAACAGCAACAAAAATAAAAAACACAGAGGGTTCATGTTGCTACTTCCAATTCCAAACCAGAATAACCTTCTCCTGTGTAGAGAATCCCAGACTTCAGGGCAAAGCAGGGGAAGGACAGAGTAGAAAGTCACACAACTGTGCCTGCTTTATCCAAAGCACACACGATAGTCTCACAGCCCAGGGCCAGCCCGCTACCCACAGTGCAATCACTGCAAACAGCTCCAGTTGTTTCTTCAAGTTCCTTTCGTTCTGGGATATAACCCACTAGGGCTACAAATAAGCTCTGATGATTGACTTTTAATATTCCTAGCAGCTGAGAAGACCAAGGTGCCATGAAGAGCCACAGCCCCTCCAGAAACCGTGCCTGGCCAGGAGGCCATGTGTCTAGAGCTGAGACCCTGAGGAGTGGGTCCCCAGGGGACTGGTCTCAGGGAGAGGTGCTGCCTCTTAAAACACAACAATGGACAGACAGGTAGATACGTTCAACAGTAGCATGAACAATTTCTGGAACTAGAAATCATTATTTGTAAACGAAAAACCCATTTACGAGTTGAATCAGAGGAGCGACTCCTGTCTCTGAGTTCTAAATTCATGTTGGGGAGGAACAAATGGAGGAATTACCTGACTGAAACATAAAGCAAAAATGCCACCTCGAGGAAGTTATGAGGGAAAAGAGATTTTGAGAACAGATCCAGTAGCCCCATATGCAAATAATAGGGAAATAAAATCTAATAGAAAAAAGACCTGGCACGATGGCTCACGCCTGTAATCCCTACACTTTGGGAGGCCGAGGCAGGCAGATCACTTGAGGTCAGGAGTTTGAGACCAGCCTGGCTAATATGGAGAAACCCCATCTCTACTAAAAAAATACAAAAAATTAGCTGGTCGTGGTGGCAGGCACCTGTAATCCCAGCTACACTCAGGAGGCTGAGGCGGGAGAATTGCTTGAACCCAGGAGGCAGAGGTGCAGTGAGCCGAGATTGTGCCACTGCACTCCACCCTGGGTGACAGAGCGAGACCCTGTCTCCAAAATAAATAAACAAATAAAAGAAGACCGATGGATGTTTATAAAGCGTTCAGAGGAAAGGGCTCTGCCCTGGCACTCTATACCCCAGCACGAATACTACTACTAATGATAAATGATATAATAATAGCTGATACCCTTGGACTGTTTTCCCCATCCAGGCATAACTTAAATGTTGTCTGAACTTGTTCAACTTGTTTCCTCTCCTTAAGGAGAGACACATTAGAATTATCCCCATTTCACAGGCACGGACAGGTCAAGTGACTTGTGCACCATCACAGAGCCAGGGTTAGAAACCAGAAAACCTGGTTTTGGGCTGGGACTGTGTTCTCTGCCACTCTCTCACTGCCTCTTCAGATAGAATTCGTGGGTCACAGAGAAAGAAAGACACGTCCAGATTGGCAAGGATAAAGGGAAGATGACCCCAGACCCTCCTCTGAGCAGACTAGCATGGACTTAGCACAGGGCCAGCAGGAGGAAGAGGAAGCAGGGGCTGCCCAGCTCCCTGAGAGATTCAAGGCCATGTGAGAGCCCCAGGAAAGTGAGGTTTGAATGTGGAATGAGGAGCATGCGATCGAGATGCATCCCACGGCTGACCTCCCGGGCCTGGGGGTATAAGTGGCCGGAAGCCCCCGGGGGCTCAGGCGTGGTGGGGAGAAGGGGCTCCCAGTCGCTGGTAGAGGTGGTGTTTGGGTTCCTGTCCTGCGGGACTGGGAGTCTGATGCTGAGGATGGAAGGGAACAGTGCCGCCTGGTG